CTTTGCCTCGATATTCAATGGGTAAATTTGTAAATAATGTTTTATTTCTATTATTATCAAAATGAGAAAGAGAAATCCTGCAGGAAAGTTCACGTGAATGGAGTTTATCACTGGAGACAGAACTTTAAAATTAGCAAAAATGGAATAGCAGTAAATCAGTTTAGGCGCAATATAAATACTGTAAGTTGTATAGTTGGCCCAAATTATTTGGAGTCTTTTTTCAATGATTTTGGACACTTATGCTTTGGGTTAAGTAAAACAGCTTGCGCTGAACAGGACATACTCTTTAATTCAACTGACTTGGCGCATGGAAGGCGGGGCTTCATGACCTAATTGAGGCTAGGTAAGATCAGATAGCACGCGCTCGAGAGAGATGCAGTCTGCGGAGGTATCAAAGGGTAGATCTTGTAACTATATAGTGTAACTTCCTAGATGGAAATTTTAGTTTGATAGCTCTGGATTGCGTCTAACTAATAATTTTCACGAAATGTTAATGAGACTATACCGGCAGCAGGAGTCTCATTCAGACTGACCTAGGAGGCACGACAGAAGGCAGGTTTTGAAATTTTCGGTATACTAGAAATTTTACAGATCTAGTTCATTTTTGAAAATAAAAAAATTATTCCACTTAAACGATTGAAACTTGCTTGCGCAGTTTCAAATAAATGTGAAACACTTTCAAGAATTTCAAGTCCATGAGACGCGTTGAAATGATGACATCAAGGGTACAAAACTTAGCTTCAAGCTTGATTCGAGAAAGAAGCAAGGTGACACGAGACCGGATCAAGATCGAAGTTGTCATTTTCAAATAGTTATGCCGATCCTCAATTACTTTCAATTTTTCCGCACAATAAATCTCCCAAATCCTCCTGTAATTTGCAAAAAGAGCAGTTTTTCTTTCACCTAGGGGTGGAACAACCCCAATCGATGATCGATGTTTACACACCGAGAATAGCTGAGTTGCTATGGAAAAGTAAACAAAGCTTACATGATGACACCACAGTGAGGAGCGAACACAGTGTTAGATGAAAGAGCTTAATTACACGACAGTGTCTTGCGGCGCATTTGACGAGAACGCCGATGATTTGCCGTGTTTTTGCGGATAGCTAGCCGGCTTCGATAGTTGCAAGAAGGCTTCTCCAGAATTCTCTACTTGAACGTTGTAAAAATTTACGAACTTGTGTAATATGGAGTGTATCCATCGAGTAAGCAACAAAGTGTAAACGATCAAAGGAAATACGAAGAAAAAAAAAGATATTGTTCCAAGTAGTTCGCCAAAATACATCGCAAAATATATGAAATGATCATAAATGTTTACATAACAATTGCGTAAAAGGCGAGATTTCTGAGGAAAAGGAAGCTTCACATTTGCGAGCGAAAAAAATTTAGAAAAGGAGGAAAATATGGTAAATTTCATATGAGAAGAAATACATGGCAAAACACATTTTCAACAAAGATTTGTGTGAAGATGGAAGGCATCAGAGAGCAGAAATTGCAGGAATTGCAAAGCAAAAATTGTACTCTCGATACAAATATCGGTGCTTGAAAAATTGAAAACAGCAGCTTCTGATTTCAAAAGAATTTGGTAATTTTGTATTCTATGAAATAATCAACAACTAATAAAAAATCGATTATTGATTTTAGACTATTTGTGAACGAAAAAGTAGCTTTAATAACTTGGCGAAAGCCTGAAATGAAGGAAGAAGAGAGAGAGGCAAATGAAAAAGCATATACGAAAGGAGAAGAAATGGATTGAAGAAAGAATCCTTAATTTTTGAGATGGCGAAAAGGTGCAAATAAAAAAAATCCTAGAGTGAAGGGCTGGAAAATTTTACTGCCGCTTACAGTCAGTAATTTGTCATAAAGAACTTTCGCTAGACTTTTGCCAAAATCACCGGAGTCTAGGCCACAAAATGAGATTTCTTTGTAAGGAAAAGAATAAGAGTGTTTGAATTTGGTGAAATATAACTTCATTACTACTAAATATGACGAGATAATATTTTTCGGAAATTCTACATGGGAGGGTAATATGAGCAAATAATGCGGAACTTAGAGCAAACAATGATATAATACAACAACTACCAAGCAACAAATATTTGAAAACAACAATAATTCAGCGGGAATGTTACGAACTCGGTAGAAATACCAAGCAGCGTGAAAGCTTCACAGGTCCAGAAATGATGATAGTAAGCAGTGGGAACAGCTTGTTCAGCATGTATTACGGGTTTGTGGAGAGGGGGACGGGGGGACGACGAAAAGCGTGCTGTCGGTTGCTAGAGGAACTCGCTTTGGACGTGAGCCTGGGGCCCGTTCGAACTGGTAGCATCGTGCAGCGGGTATGCAAATGCCCACAGGGGTGAAACTAGCCGACGACCGGTCGCTGGTGGCTGGCTCCAGCACATCCTGTACGCCACCGCCACCGGCGACAGAACGAGTTCGATCCCCACGTCCTCGGCATCCAGTCCCCTCAGCCACAGCACTAGATGCGCTATCGGCATCCAGTTGATTACCAGTTCACGTATCATTGACGCTGCTGTCACGACGCGATGACAACAGGTTGAAATCACTGGCGCGCGCACATCGACTACAGCCATCCGAACGAAGCTCGTTGCGCGCACAAAGAACGAGCACAGTCCTGATTTTGCACCGGTTGCTAGCTAGCTAGCGATCAGCGTTCACCTTTTTTAGACGGAGAATCTCCTCTAAGAAAGATGTTTCAGGACGGTGGCAGCCATGGGTAGCTATCTTTGAAGAGTAAAATTACGGTGATGGAGCAAAAAAAGCAGTTTTTTCTAGAATAAAAATACCGCAGACAACACATTAATACTAATTTCGATTGCGGCTAGAAAACTTATATAAAAGTTATCACCGTACACCTACCGTAACCACACGCGGAGATGTTGTGTGACCTATGTGACCACCGCGTCGGATAACCCTTATTGACGAAGTTTATGCAAATTTCATGGCAGAAAAATTTTAGGCCCCGGACAGCGGTATAGCGCTCAAAATTCAATAGTACTGTCTCCTCATCAGTTCATTCATTCACTCAGAATCTCGCGCTCTGATACACTATAAAGCACATTTGCCCAAATTTACAAGCACTTTTAAAAGTTTCGTCTATTCTTCAATCCTTGAAGATGTACGTAGCTCTAAAAGAAAAAAGATTAAAACAGAAATTAATATAGAAAAAGCTAAAATAGGGAAGGCGCTATGAATGAAACTTACTGATTTGTTTGATCGTATTAGCTTCAGTAAGTAACGCATATTCCCTCATTTTTCATGAAAATTTTTCAAAAAATTGTTTTATTGATTCTGTATTATTATTTTTAGTCCTGTGTTGATAGAGGAAGCATTTAAATACAATTTTGTCGTCTTATCTTGCGTAATCCCACCGTATAAGACCAAGTTTCGGTATATTTGTCATTTTCTTAGGCAGCATTCAGCAACCGCTCTAAGCAAGCCTTCGTATGCGCGTTAAGAAATCTTTCGGTAATATACCATTTCTGACGATTTGACCTCCCAGTGGATTTTGAGTTCGAAATGGTGGAAAAGCTCCTCGAATGAGGGGAAGTCAAGAAATTCTTGTCGTGCATTACTCAGTCATTGCCTTGGGAAAAACATTAAGACCGTAAGCAATATGTAGCGAAAGATTTCTTCACCCTTCTAAAGCGCTAATTTTCTTCACCCTTCTAAAGCGCTACCTTAAACTATTACCGAATTTTTGTATCTATATGGCGAAGGTAGGATGTAGGTTTGTGCTATGTTGATCTGGCGTTGTCTTGTTCTACGAACTTGAGGGTCCATTTGGGAATTTTTCTAAAAAAGTTAAAAATTCTTTTCATACTCTGAACTTGGAGAGTCACTTTTGCCGATTGTGCTTCAACACTTTGAGAACTATCCTCATTGAATAATCTACGCATTGGAATGTTTATAGTAATCATAAGCATGTAGTGGAACAGGAGCAGTCATGTTTTGCTAGCTTTCTATTTCCGGTTCCAGATCCGGTGTGAGAAAAGTCTAGTCTATGATTTGGCTATCTTATAGCCTAACGCTCCACAGTGAGTTTCAAAAAACATAAAAGGAAAAGAATAGTACTTATTGTATACAAGATCTACTATTCAGTATCGAATTCTCTGCTTGAAGTGCATGAGCAGTAAGTTCTGTTTCATCTCCTGACCCGAACTCATGAGTGATGATATCATGCTGCTTGACATCATTCATCGATTTCAAACAAACAATGCAGATAAGTTGAAGAAAAAAGAAGTCATGATTCACTACCGAGTGTGCATCGTAAGCAACAAAATAAAATTTCGTTTGACTCCGTATGAGACAGAAACCTTAAGCCTTTTCTTTCTTATCTAAAAAAGTCTCATTCCTGTCTCAAACTCGCATTTTTATAAACTATAGTAAAATGTAGGTGGTACTCTCGTGAAATTGTCGGTTCCTTGCTGATTTTCACTCATTATTTGCAGAGCTTCAATTAACTAAATCCAGTCAAGACCTTGCGTTATCACAACCCTCAAAGTTTATACCATGTTCTGGATAGTGCAATCCTTGGTAGTCGCAGCTTGTGCTATCAATCAAGTCCATTAACTATCATTTAGCATTAATTTGCAGCTAGTGCAGCTTGTAGCACTTACGCTAGTAGAAATTTAAAAGTATTTTTAGCCACTCTAAGGATATCTGCTTTGTAAAAGCAGTTTTCACTTTGAGATCCTCTTGATGACCGAATCTACTCGGGTTCGGTCATCGTTAAAATCATGTATTCCAACGATGTGGAACAACACACAGAAAACTTCATTTTTAAGCACACCTGAAACCAATCCAGTCAAAATAATGTGCACTTAGGATAGAGCGAAGTTGGCTATTTTCTGAAGGAAGCTTTGGGAAAAATTTAAAGCCTTCGTTTTATTGGATATTGAAATCGCTTCTGTTTTCGTGTCTTCCTGAGCTTCTCTTGCGAGATCGATGATCGTGCAGATAACCGTTGTGCCCCATTTAGGCACTGATAGAGCATTATCAGTGCTCTGGCCATGTTGCGTCTCGGAGTAATTTTGCTTTTCTTCACCGTTTCTGCTCAGGTAATCAGTTGATTTGAGAAAAAAACCAAATATTTGAGTCATAAATGTAGCACATTTCAACTGCTAGTTTGCAGGCAGTATGGCTCAATCTACCTTCTATTGCTTTGAAAGTGTCCGAGCATCTTCTCAATTTTGATCAGCTCCCAGAGCCTGCAGAATTAGAAAAATCTACCCAGGATAATGACGAGGATCTTCTCCAACAGGTTCTTCTCGAATATTGGAATGTAACCAAAGTTATGCAATTTTGCAAATTTTTAGATAGAAGAAATGCGCAGAAAGTTGGTGGACGGCGAATCCAAGGAATCTAGTGAAGAAGTAGATTTATTTTCAGATGTAAAGAAAGATGAGGTAAGATTCCAGCAAATAAAGCCATAAGCCGATGAAAAGTTTTTCAAATATCTTACCCCCAATAATAGTTTTTGGAAAGATACTTTATACAATCTCATGAAGTATTTAGGAAAAAATCAAAGAGAGCGGCGAAAGCAAGAGCGTATTCCATCCTCCCAACAACATTAAGGTTATTTGCTTGGACAAAAAGCAGTGAATATTCAAGAGCAATACTATTTTAGTGGCAACATAGTATGCTCGATGAGCCAAGAGAGTCTGACGACGAAGTAATCGTGAGAAATTCTGACGATGACGAAGAAGGTGTGGAGGTAAGCAAATACAGAAAGTGGGAAAGAAAATGGTGGAGAGCTCATGGATATTCGAGAATTTCGGCTAAACCCGCTAGTATCATACGCAAGAAAGCTGATTGATCTTTGGGAAAGAGTATGGTACTAAGAGAATAAAAAAGTCGATTTTTTGACCACGAATTCTGCAGATGAGCTTGGAAGTAGCTTGGGCAAGACCACTCAATTAGTTTCTTCACAAATACGATATACTGGTTTACCTATACATCGAATTTAGGAAATCGTTCATCGTGTTTTGCCTAAAGAAAACACAGCTTTTGCTCCTTCCATCCCCTCGCAGAAAAGAACTGTAAGTTCAATCCTGCCCATACAAATTCTGTCAAAAGCAAAGTGCAAACTTTAGCAAGTGCAAGATAAGAAAGAAACTAAACAGCATGGCCGTCGCCACCGCTATGGAGGATTGAAGAAAAGCGGAAAAGTTTTCGAGCATAAGTTAGTGCTCTTTCCCCACATTCAAGTTCTCGTTATGTCCTTATTCTAGAACTAAACCCCGAGTATGGGAAAGCAGCCCATCGTTCAAGGACGAGCTGCCCAAGGAATGGGATTGGCGAAATGTCAGTGGCGTGAATTACTGTAGTCCTACGAGAAATCAACATATACCAGTGTACTGTGGTTCATGTTGGGTCTTTGGGACAACGGGTAGGGGAGATCAGTAATCTCTCCTATTTTATTAATTTAATAAAAAAATTTTTTAGGTGCTCTGAATGATCGCTTCAACATTGCTCGTAAGAACAGATGGCCTATGACGATGGTTTCTCCACAAGTAAGTGGTTTATGGCGGTTTTTTCTATAGATTCAGATTTCACAGATATATATTAGTGCATTCGTAGTCTTTGAGAATTATATTCTGATAAAAAAATCCACTTCATTTCTTTCTCAAATTCGGTATATAATTCCATATGAAACTGCAATTCTATCTTATTTCATATAAAAAAAACTTCAGTTCTGAGTTACCCATGCAATTTCCATTCTAACTGATCAGTCACACAGTTTCTAACAGCCTAATCTGTTTCTTGTCCAATTTAACACAAATCATATGTTTTTGTCTGTTTCGAATGATAAGTGATATTCTTTTAGAGCACAAATTCAACAAAAGCATACCTGCTAGGATTTAGTTCTTTTCAGTGATGCAACTCACAAAGTTGTGTTATAATTTACCCTATTTGCTTTCAGGAGATCATCGATTGCAATGGTAAGGGTAACTGCCAAGGAGGTGAGGTTGGCAATGTGCTGGAGTACGCAAAGTATCATGGACTTGTCGAAGAAGGTTGCAATGTCTACCGAGCTACAAATGGGCGTGAGTCCCAAGTTTATCTCCCTTCATAACGATAGTCTATATTTCGAAAGGAAAAATTTGGCTCTCACAATAAAATGCTAGTTGAGAATTGTCACAATTTCAGATTGCGATCCTATGCACCGTTGTGGTACCTGTTGGCCCGACAGCTGTTTCGCTGTTAAGAATTATACCAGATACTATATCACTGAATATGGACAGGTGAACGGAAATTTATGCTACATTCGATCAAGTAAAAGAATATTATTTGTAAAGAGAATACTTTGTTCGAATAAACATCCCATCAATCCAATTTTGGGCTTTCCAAGCCTCTAATTTTTTTCCCAAAAATCCCAATTTATTGTATTGTGTCAGGGTGTCCGGTCGCGAGAACATGATGGCCGAAATCAAGAGAGGTGGTCCAATCGCGTGCAGCATTACTTGCACTCCAGAATTCGACTATAATTACACTGGAGGAGTTTACAAAGAGAAAGGCGAGAAAGTTGTTGAGGTGGGTCAAGACTCTTTGAAGACCAGCTTTGTGCAAAAAATTACTCAAAAATGAACCTATTAGAGTAAAATCGAATGAATCTATGAAAATCTTTTTATTTCCTTCCTACAAAATTATGTCACTTCTTCTCTCAACATTTTCTAGTTGAATTATTTTTGCTTCCTCAAAACAAATTTGCGTCATTAAAATTGAAAATAAATGCTTCAGCCCAACCACATCGTTTCGGTCACCGGTTGGGGCGTTGACGAGAAAGGTGTTGAATACTGGATTGTGCGCAATAGTTGGGGTGAAGGCTGGGTAAGTTTTTACAGTCTTAAAATTCGAATATAACTACTAATGATTGTTCATATTTTTTTAGGGTGAAAAGGGCTGGTATCGAGTTGTGACGTCGAAATATTTAGATGGCACTGGAAATGAGTATAACATGGGAATAGAGAAAGACTGCTACTACGCTGATGTCGATGTCAGTAATTTGGATTGAATTTGCTAGACTAACTTTCAAAGCATGCTTCTGTTGAATTGTTCTATTGGATAAATATTTAAGTGTTCTTAGTTTACTCGTTCAGAGAATGTAAAGGCACAGTTCTAATCACAGACTTTCGAAGGGGTTAGAAAGACATTTAAATGGATATCCGCTCAAATATCTTCAGAAATTATATAGATAATATAGAAACGATTTCCGGGTGAGTTGCAAGGTTCTTTGAATCTACTTATCTCAAAAATTCTATACAATGCAGTGAAGCCACTGATAAATCCTGTTGTCAAAAGCTCAAAAAAGTATTACTATATTATGTCCAGATGGTGAACAACAACAACAACAACGTGATTGTAGCAAACATTCTATTTGAAGGTGAAAAGTTGTACGGCTTCATACAGTTATCGTATCGGGGATAATCGGCAAACTCCATTGAGCATAACTGGGCAGCTCTAAAATACAAAAAAATTGAAGATATCGTAGCATGAAAGAAAAGGGCTAAAGACAAGATAGATACGCCAAGGACGTAAAACTTCTACTCTCGAAAATCTTCTTACCTAAATTTTGCTTCGGGCATTTTTGGATCCCATAACACTGAGTTGTAATCTATATACTTTTTGAACACATTGTCGTCCGTCTTGATCCGTTCCAAGAGCTTTTCCATTGCAGCAATATCAATGGCTGAAGTGATATTGTATGCCGTTTTGAATGAATATTCCAGCTCAAATTTTGCCGAATCATTTTTATTCAGCTCGGTCAAGTTGATGTAGTAGGTTCTGAATAACAGCCATGTCATAAAAATAAATTTGTGTTGTTTAAAATACCAACGAGATATCATTGAGCAGGCCGTCAGTGTTGACGTCGTAGATTCTGAAAGCGGGATTATTTGCCCCTGCGCCATCAAGACTGGAGAACCAAGGCGTTACTGCCGGGGCCATCAACATGAATTGTACTGTTTTGCCAGAAGCATCCTAAAATGTTTTATACACCATTCGTAACAAGTGGTCATTGGTGTTCTACAACACCTCAAAAAAAGTTCGGTACGCATCCTACAAAGCTTGGATGTGCATACATTGAATTAGAAGACATATTTAGAGGACAAAGAAGATGAGACATTGTGTGTATCATATTATACAAAAAAGTATAGTATAGCAAAAATGTAGTAAATATTCATAATCTATCATACAACTTTTCCTGCCTTTTCGTTACTTAGTCTTAATCTTAATCCTGCTAAGGACTTAATCTTCATGAGTTGATCACAGTGCAGTTATGACGTGCGCTATTAGAATTTGCCACTAGTTGGGCGATCAGATTGATACTTGGAAACTCGTACTGACCTTGACAAGGTGAAATGTATCAGTATGGTGATGGCCAAAGATCATTAGACCAATTACATCAGCATATCTTACAGTAAGATCGAGAAATTTCTCATTGTAAGGATCGCGGAACCATGAGAATCCCGGTGTTCTCTCGAAGACTGCACGATGAAATTTATAGGATTATCGGATAAAGCATCGTCACAAGTCGAAATATGCTTTAGCAAAGTTATGAGTTTGAAAAAACAGTTAAACACATACCTCCGGGTGCAATGTGCGCAACGATGTGCACAGTCCGGCTGCAATTGGGTGATGCCGATTGACGACATTTGAAAGCTGACAATAATTCAGTTTCCATGAAAGCAAACTGATCTGCTGGATCCTCTTTACTAGTAAAATTATCATAAGCTTTATTTGGCCTGAAAAGGTAATTATTGAAGTTTACGGCAGTTCCAACCATTTAAACTATAAATTACTCCCTAGTTTCAAGATACTAGTAAATATGCTGGAATTTGCTTCATAACAGACGATCAATCAGTGCGCAAGCGTAACTCTCGATATCGCTTGACTGGGGAAAGAAACAATCAAAGCGGGGTGTAACCCTCGGTTTTTTGTTTCAGCCAGAAAGGCTTTCCTTTTGGATTAAGGAGTTTACTTCGGATGAAGCGGAAATTGCATCCCAAGCAAGATGATTCTTATGTGATAAAAACCTGCGTCTTTGAATTGTAAACAATGCTCTCTTTGGCCGAAAGTAAGCGTGTAATTTTTGGAAACTACTAGAAGAAGAGAAGTCAGATTTCTGTCAGAAGTCTCTAGAAGTCAGATTTTTCATGTGTAAAGAATCCATTTTTTCCACTTCTGTTTGCTTTTCAAATTAAGTTTAGTAAGGATGTTCTGATTGCATGCTTCACTTGTGATAAAGATTTTGTAACAATATTTGGTTTGTCTTTTCTGAATGTTCACGCCGCGCATGGGAAGCTTTGCTTTCGTATAACCTTTTAACTAAAATTTTACTTTGGAGTTTGAAAAGCACTTTAGACACATGGTTTTGCCCCTCACGAAGCCCATTCAAGTTCTGACATTTCTGAAGAATCAAATAAATTTTACTCACTTGTAGTATAGATTCGTGTTTAGCACTAGGATGGTAGTATTGAGGAAGGGAAACTTGTAGTAGCCACCAAGGAGAAATCGATCCTAAATATAGTTTACTTGGGAGTTTCGTTGTTTAAACCACACTTCGAAAATTGTTGATTTTTGATCAGATCATTTTATTTTGGGAAGAACCATTTGAACGGTGGAAGACACACCACTCTGATTCCTTATTTTCAACAAGCGACTTTCTCGAATGGCTGCTTTCTTGCTGCTGATTGCACTAAATTCTCAAGTAAACAAAATCTCAACAGTGTATATAAACGGAACCAATATCACATATCCGGTAGGTTTCTTACAATTGTCAAATTTACAACGATGACTTGGAATGCTCAGAGGAAAAATTGCTGGTCCAGTTGGTCGCCATGTACAGTAACATGTATCCCTCTTGCAAGACCTAATGATGCTGATTTTGCTCGAAGATGGAGGATTTGGCTAAGGAAGACGAAGCAATGCCGCGATATGGCACCTCCGAAACAATTAACGCAATTCAAGAAATGTGGTGCGAGTGTGAGTCTTTTTTCACTCGAGCCACTGCGATGACGCTCAAACTAGGGGGAGGGGAGGAGGATTCTGGATGAGAAAATCTACCCAAAACTATGTAGGTAGATTTGGATGTAGTTTGCTTCCGGCACTGTTAAAGCTGGCGTCCATGTGACGCATTTTCCGCTTCAGAATTCCTAAGGAAACTTGCTTTACAAAGCAGTTTCCGCGCTAATTTTGCTCCGGCCATTTGCTGAGCCTTATGAAACGCTTTGCAGTCTGCAATGAAACTGTGAGTTGCCAAAGCAAATCTTGCTTTATAAGCATTACAGTGCATTTAGCTTGACCCATATTTGAGCTAGAGGGGTAGCCATTTATTAAATTCCTCAGAGGCCTAAATTACCTGGGATGCACATATACGCAGTGATCATTTACTAGACACTCTAGCAGTGCTTTCATTCCATCGCACTTATCTTGCGCAGGAGATTTTAGTGAAATACGAGAGAACCTTGCGTAAAACATGTCATAGATTATTTGCCTATATCTATCGTCGACTCTAAAAATCGTGACGATGGTCTGCAGTGCGGCCGGTGCGCGCCGCACGGCACTGCCACCTAGTGATTCGCCCAAATTACGTGGAGAAGGTGAGTTCTTTCTTTTTGCATCTTTTTTGCTTGCAGGAACTTTCATGGCTACCGCAGGGAGCCTACACTGCAGAGAAGCAAGATTGCCCTACGATAAAGCGGCAGTGCCGTGCGGCGCGCACTGGCCGCACTGCAGACCGTTGTCACGATTTTTAGAGTCGACGATACAGACTTTAGCACTGCAGATCTATCATGTATGTTAGAATCCGAGCGAACGTTCCAGCCGTTAGAGTACTACCTGAGCTGCCAGTTGGACAGTGGCTTAGTTAGGACCCCAAAACTACTATCCACGTGAGATCCCATGTGTTTAGACCTGGACGCGGCCTTTAAAGAAGTCGCTTTTGAACCATACTTCGGAGGTTCCCAAATAGCATTTTCCAGTCAGATTGTTTCTCTCTTTGAAGGCACTGTCCGCAAATTAAGAGTGATGAGGTTTTGGTGCTATCTGATAGCGAAACCCGTAACTGAGCAATCGCCTGAGTCTCTCTGGAGGAATTTGATGAGTTCCAAGGATAAAATTGCACCAGAGGTAGAAGCGGCCACGCCGGCTCCTAACATAAACCTGGATGGCCTTAAAGGCAGCGTTCGGGCAAAATTTTGACTCTCATGTTTTTGCCATTCTGGGGCCTTTCCGTGATTACAGTTATAAAGTCTAAATTGTTCATACTCCCAAAAAACCCGGTTCTTGGGGACCCTCTCTTCAAGGAGCGGACGAGTTTCGAATTGCTCGTCCCCATCGTCATGCCAGCGGGAGGAGCTGCAACTGTACGGATGCAGTTGCATTGCAGTGTTGCAACTGCAATGCAACCGCACACCTGCGTAAGCACTCGTCCTCAGGGGTGGTTTGTGATACGAAGGGGGGCTTGTGATACGTATCACAGTCCCGCATCTCCTTTTAGAGGGCACGGCAAAGGATCGGACCAACGCAGATCGGATACTCATGGGCCCCTCTTTGAAATTATGTGCTAGTATGGGTGGGTGGATCTTGCTTGGACGCTGCCTTTAAGAACAAGTCCAAACTTGAGCTTTACAGTATATAGAATTGTCATAGGTCCGTCCTTCATTAATCATCAAATTTTTGACCTTTCTGTCTACTCTGAAGCTTAAGTTCGTACTTGTTGTCTTCACATGTGATGTCTTCAGACCCAGTTTGATGTGAGAAGCCAACGTGGCCGCTTCTACCAAGTTTTTGTAGGGAGAGTTCAATGATTGCTCAGTCAGGGGTTCCGCTATTAGATAGCATAAAACCTTCACCCTAAATTTGGGTGGACGGTGCCTCTGAGGACTTACTAAATCTGTGCAACAATTTGGAGGCCAATTCTGCCCGGCTGCCTCCGGTACAAGCATATTTGAACCAGAATACTTCCAGGTACCTCGATGTCTCCCGTTGGAGAGCATTTATGATCCATCGCCGCGTACCGTCTATCGCTTAGCCGCTATGATGATGTGCATACTCATATCTGTCATACCATCGTTCTACATATGCTCCAAGTGAGTTAGACCTCATTGTAAGAGTACAACTTTGTGAAAAATCACTTAGCTTTCAGATACTCTTCTGGTCCTCCAATGGTCTATTGGGTGAGAAACGGCAAGATATCACCTCCAACCGATATTGACGCCGTAGTTGTGACACAGCACAACGAGGACTTTACAAATGCATCCAAAACTTGATTGAATGCGTTGCATTGTAATTGTTGAATTTGCGATGCCTTTTCGTATTTAATAAACTTTTTTGGACATTTTTGACATTTGGATCCAGGATTGCCTGCGCTCCAAAAGTGAAGATACTGGAATGTGATTACATTTATGATTGCGCAAAAACTGACAATTCATTATCCAAACGCAACCCTTAAAAAGGATTGTTTTGGAGAAAAAAGTAGCTCCCATGATCCAGCAAGTACAGTCTAGTCATCTCTTGTGATCAAATGTGTCAGCAGACGGTATCCGCCTCTGCCGTCTCCATCTGATTTCAGAATAGAGCTAAGGAAGGCTCAAATCATAGAAATATGTTGTTTCAACGTTCATGATTTGGAAGTGGACATCACAGGCATAAGACCTCGTCATGTATCACCTGAGGCCAAGAATCTACGACGGGGACGGCCACGACGGACATGTGTGCAGCAGTACACATGATCATACGAAACGATACACTCTGATGGCTGGTATGTGCACTTGAAGAGCTTTTTCCCAATCAAGCACTTTGAATAGTGTTTTTACAGACGTCGCTTATCCCCTAAATTACAATATAGGGCTCTGCGTGATCATGAAAGGTGATTAAATTGCGGCCTTTGCTCCATTGAGCTTTGTTTTCTTTCTAATGTCAAACGCTTTCCTGCTATCGAATGTTAGCCCTAAGGTCGGCTTGAATTGGGTCAACAGTCTGTCATGAATCGATTTCATAATTCCTTCAAAAAGAGTTATGTGTTATATAATTACTCCGTTCTCATAACAATGTCTTGTTATAGGCCGTCCGCGCTGCGCGCGGAGAGCAAGGCTGATGCGTACATTGAAGGCAGTTCACGACTGGAAGAAGCGCAGAGAAAAACAGACGGCGAGAGTGTACCAGGAAAGACGAGTGATGCGCAATACACACCTTGCGCACTCTCCGCGCCCTGCGCGGACGGCCCATATCTGCGTAAATCTATCACAGCCGACGCGCTCTAGAAAGGGCGAAGTACCTCGGAAAGCCTCCGAATAAACACTCTCCTTGGAACCACTGTATCTTCCGGAAAGAAAAAATAAATAGTATAGAGCCTTTGATTCAACTGGATTGGCGGCTGGAAGGCGGGGCTTTGTGACGTAATTATGGCCGCTCGCGCTCGCGGCGCAATCTGCGTCTCTCTTGCGCTCATTCCTTTTGATCACTAGCCTTAACTGACAAGGGAAGGATGATCGGTCGAAGTGGCCTTTTGGAATGAGCTCTACACCAGGAAACGCCCCTGGGTGAGCCATTCTCCAAAACCACTTTCGCTAGCTACACTGCAAAAAGTCACTATTTCTACAATCAGCTATAATCCTCTATAAACGCTTACATTTTATCCGATTTGCGCGCTGCGAGAAGCTCTTCTGCTTAAACACTTCGTGGTTGTATTTTATAAGTGTTAATATATCATTGACATCCATTATTGTAAAATCAAAATCCCCATATATTGCAGAAGATTATAGCTGATGGTAGAAATAGTGACTTTTTGCAGTGGATAGCTTGTCACAAGTGCATAGCAACGAGTATTTCTCGTTTACTGTCACCCAATATACTTTTTACAAAACCGCAAAACAAAACCCCAGCAACAGGATCTGAACCTTTGACCACTTGCTTCACAGTCCCCGTCTTGCCACTGCGCCGCTGCCGCACTGGCTACATGGCTTTAGAGCCTCGCCCATCAGGACCACCTTCTGCGCCGGAGAAAATGGCCTCATAACTCCCCTCACAAAATTGCTCGGCAACTAGCGAAAGTGGTTTTGAGAATGCCTCATCAAGGAGGGTTTCCTGATATAGTGCTCATTTCAAAAGGTCACTTCGACCGATCATCCTTCCCTTGTGAGTCACAAAGCCCCGCCTTCCAGCCGCCAATCCAGTTGAATTACTGGGTAAACACAGGTAAAGGTTGCAGGAAAATTACATTAGTGTTCAATGTTAGTTTTGAAGTGACGGCAAAAAATGGGGCAGCTTGACTTTTATCACATTCTCAGGTTCTAAGTTCGATCAGCATCAAGCAGAGAACGATCGCTACAATCGACCCTCGCCTATTATTCTGCTAATGCATTAACGCCTCTTCCACAACTCTACCCATGGCGCCGTCAAGAATTCAGACAAGGTTTTTTTGAATCTTGCGCTTCTATACCATAAAGTCGAGAGCAATGACACACCATTTGAAAGATTCGGAAGAGCTCTTCATGCTCTTTCAAATGATATATTAAGTATATGAAACTCCTTTTTATTTCCAGATTAAAAAGCAAAAAACTTGCAACACTGCGATTTCTGGCGCAATAAATACCAAAAATCCTGTTTCAATCAATATTTTCCAAAGATAGGTGAAGATTGGGGTAAACTGCTTATGGGCGGATAGAGCGTAAGAGCTCTGTCAGACGATAGCCAAAAGTTGCGTTTGTTTGCAAGGCAGTAAGTAACACATGTTTATCCCCCTTCTTGAAAATGCTAATGACCATATCTCCTGACTTTAAAGGCAGTGTCCCGGCAGATTCGGGTCCTGGGGGATATACGTGTGGTGGGGTTCCTGGTCACCCCATCGACCTCCAGGCGCAGTCCGGCTGGATGATGTTCCCCCTGGGCCGAGAAAATGTCCCTTGAACCGGCGCGCGCAACCCCAACTGGCGCGCGCTTGGACGGCCTTCCCCGCCTGTTCGGCGCGGGACCCTGCGAGCGCTCTCCCCCATGATGCATGCTATCCAAAGCAAGAATTACAGGCGGCAGGATCTTCGTATGAGGACCTCCCCCAACTTTCCATTAAAAATCTCGTCCAAGCTGCTTTTCTGGAGTTAGGAAAACGCCTCAAAATCGGCCTTTTCAGCCCGTTCAAAGCTCAAATTCGGATTCTACGTGGCGAAAAGGCCTAAAACATGCAAAAAGGTGGAGGTGCAAAATCTGCCGGGACACTGCCTTTAAGCGTTGAGACTAGCAAGCAATCGTCGGTTGACTGTATGTACCTTCACCCACAGCAGCACAGTGGTACTTTGGTCATATGTTTCACTGCGCAGATACTGGTCGAATTCAATAATTTATCGTCGAAGTAATGATTTTGCCTTTCAGCAAGTTTAGAAATTATTAGTTATGTAAATGAACTTATTTAGATAGTGGAAGAGAATATTTTATTCTGATATCTAACAAGGCTAGAAAATCTAATCCCTTCTCTTTAAGTGTCCCATTTTTACCGTTCACCCTAACAGACTATTCGTAAGCCTTTATTGAATGAAGATAAGAATGTTTGAAATGTGACAACCTGTTGATTATTTCACACTAATGCCGTGCGCACTTTGAATGACCACTTGGACCAGAAGTTTCTTTTCTGATATGTTACGGTAAATTAGTCCTGACCATTTAGAACTATGTTGCTTTTTCAATCTTTTACAGGGCTTTTCTGGCTTGTGCAGCGTTTCTTGCGTTTGCCTCAACAAGTGCCAAAAATTATTACCATCGAAGAAAAGCTTATATTCTATTTCTGCCAGAAAAACTTCTTGCGTTTGCCTCAACAAGTGCCAAAAATTATTACCGCCGAAGAAAAGCTTATATTCTATTTCTGCCAGAAAAGCTGCCCGCTGGCAGTAGCACATTCGCGGTTTCGATTATATGAAAAACAGGGTAACAGCTTTGGCTGGATTTATGCTGATCCGTGAGTTTCGGAACAATTCCAGCACAGTGCCCGAATTGTACGCCGTGCTATATTCCGGTAGTTACGAATCAGTGTAAAACCAGCCTTTGGAGGGTCGAATTCTCGCTGCCGCCTCGCTTGGACTTCGCGCTGCGTTTGCGAGCGTAACGGCGAGATCAGCCCGTGACGACGCGATCCGCTGGTGCTGTGACATTTTCAATGACAGATTCGCTCGACTATGACATGGAGGAAAGTCGAAAAAAGATGAACCCACCTTCTCACTGTCACCAATTTTCTTGCGCCATTGCTCCCAACACGTCTTGTAAAGCACACTATTCTTATCAAAAGCATTAGCAGGAGAATAATCATGATTACCAAAAACGGGAAGAATTTTTGAGTTAGGGAATCTAGCAAACACGCTGCTTGTCATCAACTCCATTGTTTTGTTCACATCTGAATCGTAAATTATAGTTTGCAATAAAGGCTGTAGTTGTCAGAATTAAAAACAGAAGTGTGAGCTGATTGTGAGTGCTACGGTGATGCCGATGTTAAGCTGAATGCCTGTTCGTCCTTGGGTAGAAATTCTCATCTGAACTGACTGGAAAAAACTTCACACACACTCCGGAGCAGGACAGGTGCCATGGGCTATACCCGTTATTGACCGTATCTACTTCGTTAATATTTTGCAAGTCATGAGCTACTAGGCTAGGAATTGGTACAAAGTTAGTGAGAATGCTGGTCGAATTACATTACTCTGATTTCACGAGTACAACATGATGCACCTTTCTTGATTTTTCAGGTGATCCGCTCAGCCGCGTCGTTGTGTTATAAGACGAAACTTATGCCGCACGATACCCTTAAACTCTGGACATACCGATAAAAAAAATCACCGCGATGCGATTTGTGCAATCAGACAAGTGTTATACGCCCTTTGCATGCCGGCAAATCATGCATGTCGATGGTGCTAGCTGTCCGGCGCGACGGATCGCTGAATGTGTTTTCCTAGGCCATACCTATTCCACCGCGATTTGACCGAAATCTTGCGATATCGCGTCGCCAGTTCGAAATCAGCGACGGGGCGATGTCGCTAAAATTGGATTTTTCTCTTGGATCTTTTCAACATCTTTTCTCTTTCGACTAGTTTTTTTGCAGAGATGTTGAAATGTGATGCAGATTTCCTGAATTGCACTTCTTTCGTGTTGTGATGCGCTTCCCTTCTGATTCGTGCCATCAGTCGAAATGAATATTTTTGACTGTTCGAAACTCGTAATTGAGTAACAGGCTTATTATCTAGATATCTGAATATCGTGAAGAATTAGCAACGTATGAAACCGCAGCTACAACTTGAAAAAATTTGCTTCGCATCCTATGTCAATAAAGTTGAACAGTAAATGCAAATGCGCGAGAAACTATATAAATTGTCGTTGTGGAACAATCGATGTCGAAAAAACGAAGAAATCTGCAAATGTAAAGAAATCACGTTGAATACTGCTTTCTGCCAAAAGAACGGGGTGCTGAGGTGTGTATGTTCACTTATTTCTGAACAGGTAAGTATGTCCAGAACTCGCGACCAGCGGTTTAATAGTCGCGATGTCGCGCTCTGATCATGAAAATCTCCGGCGACGGAATCGCGACGATGAAATCGCTGCACGTATGACCAGGGCTTTAGGTAATACGCAGTAGGCAGTAGGCTGTCTTTTGGACGCGAAACTTTTTGGTCTTTTTGACTGGGAGTTTAAAAAAAGTGCGTCTTGTCCAAATTAAGGTTACCATATTTGGAATTATCGGATAAAATTCTTGGATTATTGGTTTTTCCAAACATTGAGATGATGTTTTCTTGATGTTTTCTCTATGTTTTCTTTCTTTTTCAGGTAGAAGATGTAATCTAAATAATTTCGTTTATGAACTCTGAGAACGGCTGGTGCTCCTCCTTCTTATAGCAAGGTGAATATGCGAGGTGTAATCATATACCGTACAGGTTGAGAGAATATTTTGAGTTAACAGCGCGTTGGCGATTATGTCCGCTGGAACAAGAGCCGATATAATGAATCATGACATCCGTTATTACCCATCCGAAGAAGGCCTGATGAAATGAAAGTTGTCATGAAGAAGAGCGCTCAAAGGTTTGATACCTCCTTCCTATGTTGCGAAAAAAATCCGTTATCCAGACCGACTGCATATGAGCATAGAAGCAAGAAAAATGGCAATCCGCCGCCAAAAACGGAAAACCACGAGTTACAATGATTAAAACAAGGCTCGCGATGTTGTGCGCAGTATGGTTCCCACGCTGCGCGTACGCTCACGCTCGCGCATGTGTGGCTGCACTAGTGCGTAGCTACGCGGCGCTGGCCTCGTTAAACGCATTGTATTTATTTGTTTCAATTGCACGGATATATGTACAAATTTGAGAGTAAACTTACACGCCCAGTCATAGTCATCGATGTGGGGTATGCTATCTCCTGTCCATAAAACCAGGTCAGGCTCATGTATAACTCTGTATGCTTCAGCCAGGGTGCGTTCGGCAAGCGACTGCAACTCAAGCTATGCCTCAAAATTTTCTTTCGAACAAATGTTTAACTCACCACTGGAGCATCGCACATGTAATCACCAAAAGTTCCAAGTGTTGCATTTGAAGAATTACCATGACACATCTTCTGATTATCTCCTTTGACGGAATAATCAACATCAAGGTGGAAGTCAGTCACTTGCAGAATTTTGAGTGCAGAACACGTAGTGGGTAGTAAAATTAACAGAAAGATATTTGGAATCATCTAAATGAAAGCTTGAAAAGTATTGGAAATTTTCTGCGTTCCTATCGCATTCTCTATGCCAAAAAAAAAGATTACGTGCAGCAAGCGGTGCAAACAAATGATGAAACCACCAGTTTGTATAGATCGAAGTGAAAATGATTCTGGTATTATCATAAAAATGTCATGATAGACCAACGCGATTATTTGGAATCTAACATTGGCGGGATTTGCAAGATTTAGCCCCCACTTTTCTTTGAGATATTTCAAATTATTTAGAGTTCTATAACTAGTTTGAACTCAGGTGAACCTTGCTGTGAATGTGACCATGATCCATAGGAATGTGGTAGGCACACTGCGCAAATCTCGCAATCTCCGCGAATCGCGAGAATATCGTGTTCCATCGTCATAGCTTATGCTTCTCCCTCAAGCAATTTGATTATCAGTGAAGAGAATTTTACTGACCTATGTTTCTCTACCGTTTTGTTATAGAATCTTGATATATTAGGTTGATTCATAATTAATGCACGTTTTCTATACTTCAACTTTCAATCGAGATAATTCTTTTTTGAAAAGACATTCCTGGGTGCAATAAAAGCTACTATAACCATCAAATCAGTCGCTTTAAAACAAATACTTTTGCGTGACTGTATTTATTACAAGAAAGATATTCTAGCCTAAAGATTGCCAACAACTTTTTCTAGAAGCCTCTACTTTGAGAGAGCATAACTTAGTTGAAATGAAGTAGGATAAAGCAGACTTTGCTCATCGTGTAGCCAATGTTCTCTTGAGCAGTAATGCCAAGTTTGGATTTTACGGAAAACTTTTGAAAGAAAATATCGCGAAAAAGTCGAAAGTACTCACTCTTTTCTGGCGTCTCGGCGGTTCAAAAATCGGTCATTTTTGAAATTATTTCATTTCTTTCCGCTGGAAAGTGAGAAAACCCTAGCGCTTTTCCACCACCAAATGAACTAGGTCTACCCTTGCTGGATAGTGCAGACCAGCAATCCCTTTACGCTTCAAAGTTTTATATGGCACGGAAGGGCCGCAACGATCAATCAGGTTCGCAATCGAATTTCTCGGCTTAGAATCTAGAATATTTTGTTCAAAGAGCATCTTGTAATACAAACTTTCATAATCCTTATGCATATTTTTTGAAATTAATCCAACTATTCCTCATGAATGTGAGGGAAAAAGAGCGAAGAGCAAAAATTTTGGAATTCAGTCTCTTTTATTTGAAGGCTTAGAACTTTGGAACGAAAGGAGATGTACGAAAGCGAAGGCACGCATAAGTAACTAGAAAAAACGCTCTTTTAGATGGCATGTAAAGTTTTTGAGGAAATTGGTTATACATCAAATACCAGCTCTTGGAAGAAGAGGTAAGAAAAACATTAATTGCTCTTGGAAGAAGAGGTAAGAAAAACATTAACATTAACATTAACATTAAACATTAATGTGCATTAATTATGAATCAACCTAATACATGAAGAGATTTTATGCAGGTGATTACAACTTGGAACTTTATACATATACACAATTTTGGCAACAAAAATTAGAGTAAGTTTGTTCGAAAACGCTCTACACGATATGTTCATCAATTACGCATATCAAAGACACTATTTTATGATACTTTTGCAACAGTCTGGAGCAAAATTGATAAAACGGATAAAAAAAAGAGTTCGTTGATCGTAGGACATCCATCACTATCAACCTTTTCCAATTTAAAAAAAGCATATCATAAAACCAAGACCAAAATTAGGTATAGATTTCACGTTTCATCGTCCTTTCCCCACTCTATAGAGGGCGGAGCTTTGCCGACGTTTGCCAACGTGCGTGGCAGTTTTTGGCAGCTAGAGAGTAAAAAAAGTAATGCTTTAGAATGAAGGTTTAACAAGTTTTTCAACGTGTTCAAATGCCTGCAGGGCCACGTCCGCTATACGCATGGGAATCGCCTATAACTATTCTAAAGACCAAACTTCGAAAAATTAGCAATGTGTTATGTTAATTACTTGTATCAAATGAAAAGTGATTCAAATCAGACAAAACATTACCAAAGTTGAAATTTTTTATGAATAAGGGGGTAATGCTGAAGGTAATTGAGATGCGAAGTCCAGCATGTACCAAAATTGGATTTTCACACTCTGGTTTCGGGGCTTGAACTAGACCAGAAGTGTGGCCAACCTGCCGCCCCTCATCAGTAGTTCACAGGAAGGCTTCCAAAAGTAATATGAAATAATAAGAAGAATGAGAAGTATCATAACGTATAATAACGGGCTAAGGATGTTTACGTGTTTTTGTGTGTGTGTGTCTGTCTGTCACGAAATTCGTGGAACGGTTGCCAGCCAACATCTTAAGCCCAAATTTTGCACAGCGCATGCCACCAACATGAGAGTCCACTATATCAAAGCTTGAGCAGATCCGTTTAGCGGATCCTTCAAAAAAATGCGCGTCAATCGGACCCACCTGGCTTTTCGTCCCCAAAATTGGGTCCGTAATTCCACTTTTTGCAGGCTCATGGATGTTTATGGCAAGTAAATGTGCAAACCATGAACTTAGGCCCAAAAAAGTGATCAAAAGTCCACTACTTTATAAAAACGGCGCCAAAAAGTATTGGTTGCGTAAATGGTCATTTTGCCAAGCTTTTACCAGAGCATTTGATGAGATTTTTGCACCTAAATGTAGCTTATGGTGACTACTGTTCTTATGGCGACTGTCACTGTGGGAAAATCAAAAGTGTACAAAATTTTGCTTTGTTCTCCTGCAAAAAAATTTCATCAGTTTTCAAAATTTCAGTCTTCAGAATTTCATCATTTCATCAACCAGTGCGAGCCTCTGCGAAGCAGAGGTGACGCACTGGTTATGAAATAAGTAAGCAATAAAAGAATGTGAGGATGAAAGTATGGAATGAAAGAGGGCGCAGTGTAAGACAAATAAGCATAAATGAGTGCTGATCCGTAAAGTCTCCTGGTAATTACCGCCTGTGTACTGCCCGCTCCCCGCCCAGTAGATCAAGCATTCTACTATGTACTTTATAGAGTAAAGGAATGTGTAATGTACTGTCAAATCCATACTTCCTCATGATATAAGGTCTTTGGCGTAATGTGTGACATAAAGTTTTAATTACCTCGTTTGGTTCCCAATCATTCTGCACACATGCTTCACAAAGTTCCAAGATTCTATTGGCAAAATCCTCATAATTGCTACAGTTTCTATTTATGCGTAGCACTTCTCCTACAAGAGTATTGTAGACAATGTGCCTAGGAATATTAGATTGGTATGCGGATATTTATAGACTCTGAAGTTATACGCATGTCTTATTATACAAGCTATAGATTACTTTGTCATCTTTTACTTTTACATTTAAGTCCAAGAAATTCGTTTCTAATTCTGAGTCGTTAGTTTTTTCTATAGTGAGACTGTTGTTATAAATATCTTTCAAAGTGTTCTCAAATCTTTCACATCATTAGGAATATGAAGGATGTCATGTCATGTATTGTTCCCATATGCCAACAAACAATTTTGACTCAAACACATTCAGAAAGTGCAAGATTTCTTCTTTCTATAATGTATCACATTAGAAGATTTCATTTAACGAGGAACGTTACGGAATGCTTGGTGCAAGATATGCATCATTATGACTAGACTCGGACCTTTTTACATTTCCAACCTTTTAAATGTTATCACTGTCCTCTCACGCCGCGATTTTTTTTCGCATATTATTTCGCGCAAATTCTTTACGCTGCAGTGATTTGCAAATTCGTTTTTCGTCTGTTACTCTTTCATCATTATGAGAAGAATACGATTATACGTATTATATCTCCAACGCAGAAAAAATGTGGATACGAGGGAGGTAGCGACATTTAATACAACTTCAGTTTCACTTGTCATGGCTAAATAGCAACAAAATGTGATATATCATGCAGAAGTAAATCTTAACTACCTGCAAAAAGCATGCGATTGCGAAAGTTTGCACCTGATGATGACAAATAAAAATTCCTCAGATCATACTAGCTTTTTCCTTAGGTCGTCATTTTGACGGAGGCCGAAAAGGCACAAAATTTGCGACGTTTTTTTTGGTCGACGTTTTCGTTTGTCTGAGATTTTTTAGGACAAAGGCTAAGGGTCAAAAGGGGCTTCGTCAAATTTTGGGAAAGTCAAGGGGGACTTCGTTTTTTGCATTTTCCAAGAGCCACCTTGTGCCGAGCCCTGCTTGCTGCAGTTCACTCTTTTCGATCAAAAATAAACGTATAAGTTCTGGATCTTTTCAGTATAGTGCACTTTCGAGTAGACGACTTTTACAACATTTTTTGGAATATAATCAATCGAAGCGCGAAATTCTTCAAGATTTGAGAACAGCAAGCGGATATAACCCGTTTTCAGAAGAATTTTATATACTTGAGAGGAACAAGATGAGAAGAGCAAAATAATAACATAAACAAAACGTGCCCTTAATAGAAAAACAAGCTCAGTGTAGAATAAAACAATCAATAGGACAAATCAAAACCGGACTAATTCACTGAAGAGAGTCTCTAGTCCTCATAGATGCGATACGCTCGCTAAAGCACTACAACAAGTATAAGCTTTGAATTGATATAACGGCAAAATGTAGTATTAGCCGTAGCATAATTAGCCGATTATGTCAAAAGTCAGCAATGCGCTTTTCACTTATTTTTATTTTCTAGCGTCTAAGATCAATTCGATAAGTGGCTCGAAGAATAGTAAATAGACACTCGAAATGAGTGGACAAGGAAAGTTTGTTTTATGGTTCTTAGAAATTTGAAATGAATTTCTCTAAAAAGCTAAATCTGTCCCATAAAAGGAGAAGAGCAATGCTGGTAAAGTTTCAGTTGCATCACTCAAACATAATCCAAATACGTTGTTAGGCAGGACTGAGTTAAGTGTAAGAAGTCCAGGAATACAATGGTGTGGAATGCACATACGTTGAGTTGAAAAAGCAGCGCTCCCAATAAACACAAAATAGTACAAGCAGATGCCCAAACGTTGGAAAGATATTTTGCCACATTTGTGATTGGGACGGTCAGCCGCTGATAAGACCAATTAGAAAGGTGATACGGGTAATATCAATTCACTTTACTTAGCTTATTTCATTTAGAGATAAGACGAAAGCACAAGCAATTTTTTTGCACATCATCATTCTCACAGACTTGCCTTGACTGTGAGTTACGCATTTGACCGACCTTGAGAACTATCAGGTAAGATGTGTATCTCGTCACGTTCCTGCCATTGCAAATCGAAATTGGCAAAGCAGAGCTAAGTGTTAGATAACACCGATAGAAACTTAGCCATTAGATGTGTCAAGGCAAAGTTTTACCGGTACGATATTTCGATAACTTTACTCCGCAGATTTTTCTGGCTTTTCTTGTACTCTACTTGACGTGAAATGTTCAGTGATCCATGTGAATTACAGGGGAGAGATGAAGTAATATTTGCAGTGTATAGAATGTTTCTAAAAATTGTACTGAATCAAGCTTCGCTTGCCTCTTCTCATTGCATTGATAACGAAGACGCATGCTAGAGAGTACTTATGACTTTCTTTTCATCTTTTAGCATTATAACAAGCATATATAGGCACACACAGCTCCATATTAATCTATTTCTGTGAAAAACAGAGTGGCGACGGCAACGTTCTTTATTTGGTTATACTGCTCATAATTGAGAGCTAGGGAGCTAAAAATAGCTATAGCTTTCTTTCTGAAGAGTTTCGGGATAAACTCAAAATATTAACGTTGTTTTTGGGTGCTTTTTTGTATTTTTCGTTGAGAAAAGGTCTTGTTTGGCTTTTGAAGTTTTGCTCAACGACTCTGGGATTGTTATCGCATTGTCACTTATCAATAATCTATCATTTGCATCATCAATGTTTTTCAGGTGCAGACATATAAATTTAGAAGCATAAGCGCGTTAAGATGATTTTCGTAATTCGCTGTGTTCCATACAATCTTGTTTCGCAATAATCTTCTCCCATGGTTTTCAACCATTTTATTAGGTTGGCACATAAGTTTTGCTACTTTTCCCGTAACTTTTTTCCTATTTTATGTAGCAATCTCATTTTGTGGCATTATGTAGATCGTGATGTAAGCTGCAAGTCTGCGCAAACCGTTTGATTTTTGATAACGTAGTACAAAAAATCTAATTTTTGAAAACTGCTGAAAAACGAGGTTTCACGATTTTTTTGGCAAACATGAAGACCTACGAAACCTGATTCAAACATATGAAAAAGCAATTATAGGCAGCATGTAGCTGGAAGTTGGCACATTGAAATCAGTGTAAAAGAAATGAAATTTAAACACAAATTAAGGTGGGGCGCCTTTGAGAAGTTGAACAAGTCAAATGCGTCAAGTTTTGAAGGCAATTTGTCAATAACTAAGCTGCGAAAAGTCAGAATTCGCTATGACTTTGCACTATAGAGTAATCCTATGCGGTAAACACGAATATCATATTCATTTGTCGCTAAAATGAAATTTATCTTTTGATCTCACGAACGAGGCCTTTTCATGCAAAATGGGTCTCATTTTTGTGATCAGCACGTCAAATAAGCCCTATAGGCAAAGTTTCAGCAAAATTTGATGCATTCTAAAATTTTTCCCATAGTACCGTAAACCTACCGTAATCCTCACATAAGATGCTAAAATTCGGCAAAAATATGTGCATTAGAAGCTTACATCATATCCCTTATATTGCCAAGAAATGAATGCGCTACGTTCAAATAGACAAAAGTTATACAAAAAGTTGCATTACTTATGTGCCAACCTAATAGTTGGTCGTTAGCGGGTACTATCCCATCGCAGGCTGCTCACAACGTCAGTTTCAGATCCTGGGTTTCCCCTTTGGTCAATTGCGCTTCAGTAATCAATAATATTGAATTTAGAAATAAGGATTCCAGCTGTGAATGGAATATCTCTGAACAGATGAAAGAGCCTTTCATCTTCAAAGTGCATCTAAGGCCCCGGGCAGACTTCACGCGATTTGATCGTCGCGACTGAATCGCGAGGAGACAACTGTTACAACATCATTCCATGCAGATCAACTTGCATTTGGTTGTGATACTTTTCCAGACCGAAATTTTTGAATGTGAAATGAAAATGAATGGAAATCTTGGCGATTTGGTCGCGACGATTAAGTCGCGTGAAGTCTGACCGGGGCCTAAAGGGATATTTACTCAATCTAAAATGTTGCGGCATGAAAATTTGCTGATCCAAGATTTATTACAGACTACCAGTGAGGGAAGAAAAGAAGATTTCAAATTTTGATTACTCGTGCCCAACTCAGCCCCTGAAGCTGTCCAATCTCATAGATACATGATTCAGCCTATAATAATAGCAGTCACACTAAAATAGGGCCTATTTCGCGTGCTCATTAATTACACTTGATAGCATAATCTGATAACAGTGAATCTTTTCTGCTGCTCTGAAACATTTAAGTAAACAAACTATCACTGTAGAAAAAATGCACTTTTTTGCAGGACAAGTTATGCGGAGACGATGGGTAGTGGTCGCGTTAGGCCCCGGACAGACTTCACGCGATTTGATCGTCGCGACTGAATCGCGACGAGACAACTGTTACAACATCATTTTATGCCGATCAACTTGCATTTCGGTTGTGATACTTTTCCAGCCCGAAATATCTGAATGTGAAATGAAAATGAATGGAAATGCGGCGATTCAGTCGCGACGATCAAATCGCGTGAATTCTGTCCGGGGCCTTAGTGCCAGCTGATCAAAGTAACTTTCTCTTCTTCCCTGGCACCACTTAGTTTTCTTCTTGCTTGTACTAATCTCTTGACCTTTGGGTGTTTCTGCCTCATCAAGTGCAAAATTCAAAAGTTTCATTTGGTATCTGTTGCTTCGGTAGGTTGCATAAGCGAAGAATGGTCTCGTAAGTGAAAGCATAACGTCTTATAGGACCATGCGTAAATAAAGTGAAAGTTATGAATAAAAATGCATAACGCCGCGTATTTATTACTATTGAATGAAATCAGCAAGTTTCGAGATCCAGGAGATGAAGTTCTAAAGAGCGATGAAAATTTTGCAATTCTATGTGAAGCTGAGTGAGTTCGAAACAGGATCGGCATAGCGTGGTTACCTACAACTTTGTCACATCCCTTCTCAAATTTAAAACCTACCATTATCTCATTGATAGAACACTTTCCTGAGTGAACAAAGAGGAACGAGCAAATAAACAGCAAAAAATCAGCAAGTAACGCATCCGACAAATCCGAAATGTTCAAACAAGAGAATCCGTGTTGAATTACTTCTACAGTAGTGACTGCCTTGAAGCATAGACAAATTTGGGCAAATGGAGAATGATGTAGATAAGGCTAGCACCTTATCTACCATCTTCTTGGCTACGATAGTTGATATAGAAATATATCACCAGAGGCACCTCAAGTATTGCACGAGCTAACAAATGCCGTTTGATGTCAACCCGCATATTTTGTATTGTCATAAATTCTCTGTTGAGGTGTTACACACCACATTTGATGACTTAGCATTCTAAGCGTGATAAAGGTCGGTTTTATCATCGTGACTAAAGACTGGTATAATCTTTTGCGCGTTATCGAGTGATTTGAGCTACGAATTCTTCCGACTGCTGGAGCTCAAGCTGCTTTCCAACTATCTACCGGGTTTTTACGAATTTAAGGTGGACATTTTGCCGTAAAATGGCGTGACTTCAAACCCCCCTTCACACGCAACAACTGCTCATCGAAACATTGCTGACGCAAATGATCAGTCCAGCCTATTTGCTGTTGTTTTGAGGAGAGAAAGGGAACTTGTAGGCAGGGAATGAGCCTATTTTTTTTATTTAAAAGATGAAGCAGGTGTATAAATGAGACTTTCTCTTGTTTCAAAAAAAAAACAGTTTCTGAAGGTTTGCAAGTCTACCTTCATTCGAAACTGATTCCACATTCGAGTTCATAGAAGGGATGCCATTCACATAACTACAATGTTCAGAGGCACGTATCAAGGTTGATATCAAACTTGGTTTAGACTTGTTATTTGTTTTCTTGGGGGACCAAACAGAGCTAATTCTTAACCCTGGAAAATCAAAGACACCATTAGATGCAGTTCATTTCTCTTCATTTGAACTTTAAAAATTACCCGAACATGGGATCATGCGAGCAATATTACAATAATAGCAAACACTAAATACAACGATTTGGAACTCGGTGAGAGATTGCAGAGGTTTGTGTTACAGCAACACCATCTCACCGCCGATTCCTTACTGTGCTCCGGAAAACACCTGAAGCAAGAGAATATTTATAAACCCAACATATATGTGTCTACGTATCAGTCTACATACCCTTCCTCCTCATCAGGGCAAATTACGACATCGGCGCATCCGCGACTGACAGTAGTACCATTCTCCCATTTTACGCACCATAGCTGCATCGGATGGCAAGGTCTGCTCTGCAAGATGTTGATGTAAATGGCATAAGCGCATTGAACTTCTATCACCATATGTTTCCATGATTTCTTATATTATATTAGGTCGTTCCGAAAGTAATGTCGCTTTTTTCGAATGAACGCCACTATTCGTGGAACCAACATTTTCAAAAGATTTTAGGAGCATTCGATGCAGCATTTCATCCTCTTTCTAGTGGCTGCAATTTCACTGCATAACATTTAATAAGCTCTCAAAAAATTACCAAAATCTGCGACTCATGCTTTTTGCCAGGGTCAAGTTCGGCTATTTTTCTAAATTTTTGTACCTAATCTCCGAAAAAGTGCAAGTGCCAGGTAGATAGAGCAAACACTATAGAACACAGAGTAATTTTTTCTTTTCTTTAGCTTGCTTCTCAGAGTTTCTACAACCAATTTCTCAATGCCATCAAATTCCATATTTAGTCAAGTCAAACCTCACAGGACAACAACCGGCAAGCGACTCGGGTGTCATTCGATGCAGCTTTTTCTCCTCTTTCTAGCGGTTGTTTTTTGTTCCCTATTTCATCAAGTTTTTCGTGATAAAATCATCATAATTCGACTTTTCCAAGGTACCCCAAGATGTACCCGAAATTTTCGAAAGCTGCTAAACCGAAGCGGTGAATGCTCGTTTGGTTTGTAAAATTGTTGCCAAACCATAATCCATCTTTGTAAGTTTCAAAATCCGAAGATTTATTGGTGTTTGATGCATTTGTGTCTGAGGCGAGAATGCTAAAATTCGATAATTCCATCAAAAAATCTATACAAAAATTATGACGAGCTCTGGAAAGTAGAAAAAAGTTGTCTGCTTCCTGTATGGTTTTCTCCATCCATCCATTACTTAAGCTCCTTCTGAGGTTTGTTAAAAAATTTTAGAAAAATTGTGAAACTTGGCCATCAAAAAAAGCATAGGTCGCAGATTTTGTCTCTTTTCTGGAAGCACATTGACTGTATTGCAACAACTTCATAACCATTAGAAAGAGAATGAAATGGTGCATCAAATGCTGCCAGAATCTCTTACATATCTTTGTTCCACGAGATGTGGCATACGTTTGAAAAAAGCGACATTACTTTCGGAACGACCTAATAGTACTCTGAGGGACCCGTCATATCGCCCAAAAAGCCCAAAAGCCACGAAAAAGCCCAAAAAACCCAAAAGCACCAGAAAGGGCCAAACCCTCCCTCTCTCCCCTTTCGTGCGCAAGTAATAAATTCGTGTTTTGCTTCATTCTCTCTCGTTTGCACATCCATATAATGTCGGAATTCTACCAAAAGTTCCAAATCGGATGAAACAGAGTCCACATAACTCAAACTGTAGTTTCCAGGAAACTGCGTTTTACCTTCTTATGCAGCCCAGCTAGTGTCTTTCTAGTTCGTGATTTTTCTACTCGTTCTGTCTTCCTTTTGATAGTCTGGTATAATTTCGGGTGCAGATGACAAAAATTGTTACAAAATACGTATTTATTATTTGTGCGCAAAAGGGACGTTCCGGCTCTTTTTGATGCTTTTGGGCGTTTTTTGGGCGCTTTTTGGTTTTTGTCGGCGAAGTTATGAAGGGTCCCCGAAGCTTATGCTTTTACATATCACCTCTTCATGATTTTTTGTCGTTATTGAACTGAGGTTATGTTAAACATGGCTAAATCTTCAAAAACTCAGATTTATGAGTTTTTTGAATCTCGTTTTCTTGCTGTGATGGATGTAGAAAACAGTGACTTGGTATCTGGATATGGTACGCTGTCTCTATCTAGCGAATAACAACAAAAATCGTAATATGTTGTCTTTAAGGTTTGTTGTTAGCGAACGAAATATTCCCACATTTGTGCAGAATAGAAAAATTGGAATGATTTACTTCTTTGCGCTTTTCCTTCACCGAAAAATAAATTCTACACAGACAGAATTTTCATTCAAATTTTCATTGATGTGCTACTTCCAGAAATACCAAACATCGAACAGAACTTTATCTGCAACATTGAGGGAGACGCAAAAGCGCCGAATTTATTTTTTAGCCAGTCTAATAGTAAAAAATTTACTAAAGCATGCACAGAATTTGTAGAAGTGTACTAATACACTAACTTCAGTGCATAATTCAATCTTTTGAAGTTTTATCGTGACTGTCCTGCTACAGTATACTGGATGGCTCCGAAAGTCCGTTCCCTTCAACTAAGCACCAAATTTTAGCAAAAGGCAATGACTGACTAATGGCAAACGCTATGACAATTTTTCATCTTTCTGTAGTTACTTTTCCATTCCATGATACCCATAACCTTCTGGTAATTCACAAAAGCTTTGTCGTGGTTTTTAGCATGACCAAATTCCAAGACAGTTTGATGAAAGTTCAAGTAAATAGTATGCTATGCATGCCTGTATAAAAAACTAAAAAATTCGGCATTAACCCTAATTTTTCAAGATTCTTTCAAGCATTTGATTTCGAAAGATTATGTGTCATGTTTCTATTGCCTCAATTCTATTTCTGGGGTGTTAGGTGGCACCTTTTTCTGATAAAAAAATGTTTTTTATGAAGAAGTTGAAAAATCATTGATCTAAAAGAAGCAGATAGAATATATTTCCTTACTGTGCTCTGTCTATTTTGCTCTAGAGATCAAAACAAAAGCTCTAATCAAAGAAATGGCGAAGTAATTAGAGATCTAGTGAAAGTTCATCTTAGGCGCGATGTAAGGAGAAGAAAAGGATGCAGCAAATAATTTGAGGTAGAAAGCAAACGAAGTTTTGGAACAATCTAGTACGTAAAGTTAGCTTGGTACTCTTGCGAAGAATTAACAGTTCGTATAAAGTCAACGCACTTACTTCCATATCCGTGTTAAAGCATTCTAGGAAAGAAGTTACAGATCCAGCAGCAAGTATCACAAGAGCGATAGCGAGAGGCATCTTCGAAAGGTGAAGTTGACATAAAACTTGCACGCTTTTTTAGTGCTTTTAGATAAGATTATCAAACGCAGTGTCAAGCTTCTGAACTCTTCAAAGCCGATGGCAACTGTCATTTACCTAAAAAGACTGTAGATCATTCGAAAACAGCAAACACAATAATTTGTGCTTTAACAAGGCGATAGATCTTTAATTCATGATGTTAGATTCATCCATTGCAGTTGAGCCAAAAATATACTAATGCTAAATTAGTTTTGGTAGGAAATTCAGCGGTTCCTGAATGCTGAGCTATAGCAGCGGACTTATAAAATTTTAAAATTGTCCAAGATTCGCAAAGGTGTCAGGTTGGAAAGAAAAGAATGTCTTTTTTTCGGTTTTTTTTTCTGCTGAAATTGGTATTTCTCAGGAACTATAGTATATCCAGGCTCAAACTTCATGATTAAAGTCTTGAAGGTTTGCAGTACACAACTGCATTTGTGGGAGGAGCCCAGGATTACTAGGGTGGAGTTCGCCTTTTTCGTCATTTGATTTTTTCTCTATTTCTAAACGCGAAAAATATGGCAAGCGCAAATATGGGTAATTGCATCTGTCTGCTAACATGCTGGCGCAAATGAGAGGTTCGTGGGATTGTTGTGGGCGAAAATCCGATTCTTGGAACCGAGTTGCTCTTATGTTTTGGCTTTGAACTTTGGGTAAACCACAACTTAAAGGCAGCGTCCAGGCAGATTCTCGACTTCTATATTTTTATGTTATCCAGGCCTTTCCATGGCGCTGATTCCGAACATGGAACTCAAAAAGCTTGAATTTTTCAGAAAACCACCTTTTGGGGCTATTTGAAAACCCGGACGAGTGCTTCTGATGTCATCCTTGTCGAAAGCAAGTATTAACAAGTAAACGCTGTAAGCTCGACTGTGTCGGTCATGTGAAAACAAGTCAAGGCTGAGGAGATTTCGTTCATAAGGGGTTGGCCGTCCGAGGGAAGTGGGCGTGGTAGTCGAGCTCGGATCTGCCTGGACGCTGCCTTTAAACCAATGTTCAGATGTCATCCTGTAGAGCTTGCTTCGTTCTATCGGATAATACCCCTGACATATTTTTTTCCGATTCGTCCTGTTGTTCTGCTGTAAAAAACGACATTATTTTATACTAGCCTAATAGTAAGCATGAAGCCTAAGAAAATACTGTGACTTTATCCCCTGAGGTACTCGACTGTCAATGCCAAATTTATTGAGATTGCGGACTACTCAATCTGCTACCTAGAAGGCTAAAGTCTCGTCTAGCAATACTTTAAGAACATCTTCTCTCAGAATATTTTACATGCAGTAAATCTATCAAACCTTTGCTGCACCAGGTACACGATAATAGATAGAGGAAGATTTATAACAAACATTTATGTACAATAGATGAGGTATTTCAGATATTGAAAAATCTACTTTTATTTCCTAGCTTTCTTCTCAAACTTTTGTTGCATGTAAGAAGCCATAGGATCTGCCGAATGGATAGTGGTAAGTCTATACGCCTCTTGTTCTGCTTCTGTTAACTGCTTCTCTTCGTAAGTGTTATTGAACTTTCGTTTACGATCACCCTTAAGAAACAGTAATTCAGAAGAACACAAGACAGAACCATTCCGCCCCGAAGAGCCAAGACGTACCTCTAGGTACTTCTTATGCCCTTCAATCTTCTCCTTTTCAATTTTCTTCAACGCTTCTTTGAGTTCATCTTTCTCCTTCTCCTTCTCAGCTTCACTCTCCGAACTTGAGTCAGAGTCCGAATCACTTTCTGCCTAAACAAGAAACTCGGCAACTGCCGTTGATGACAACAATGGGATACGAGTCAAAGTGAAAAATCAAGACTCACCTTCCTTGACTTTTTCGGTTTGCCTTCGGCTCTTTGTTTTCGTCTTCGTCTCTTTTCCCTCTTTTTCTCTCTTCGCCTGGCATCCTGTTTTCCTACAAAGTTTATTTTGAAAACCATGAACATGAAAAGTTTCCTTAGGGCTATATCAGAAAGTGAGCCAATTTCTTCTGCCTGTGCTACTTTGAAAAGCTGATATCAAATTCCCTTTTTTGATAAGTGCATTTCAGAGATATCAAGCATCAACAAAAACATAGATGTCAGTCAGTTCCCCAACAAAATCAGAAGCAGGTTGCAAAAAAAAAAAACTTTGTTGTGAACTAGGTAACTCAAACATTAGAATCTTACTGCGCTCCCTTTCTCGTTCCATTTCCCTCTCCTTTTCCGAATCTTCTTCCTCGGATTCACTTGATGACTTGGATGATGAAGCTTCTTCGGATTCCGATTTAGGACTAGTTTGATTCGACACATCAGGTTCCTCCTTTTTAGTTGTTTTCGTTTCGGGAGCTGCGACAGTTGGAGCGGCAGGTTCTAGAACGACATTATAATGTAAATGGAGTGACTCCCCTTTAACCTGAGTGTAACATACCCATTTTGCTCTCGACCGTAGCAGCACTGTCTTTTTCAGCCTTCAGTCCTTCCTCTTGGAGACAGAAAGAATTCTTTATGAAAGAATGGCAGCATTTGTATCCCCACTGCCCATTCTTCCAATAAGATCCAAAAACGCTGGTATGGTTCATAGGATATCTGAATGTAGACGTATGATTCTCCCGTGCACCACAGAAATGAAAATTAAGAGCAACTCACACATCTTCCTCATAACGACTCTTGATGGGAGCGCGCTCTGCTCCCTTTAACACTTTTCCTTTTCGACTGTATTCCACGTACTGCTCGGTCTGCGCAAACAGCAGTTCCTTGGGCGCTGATTCCAGATACTCAGCACCTCCATATTTTGAAAGCAAAGCCTAAACCAACATTTATGCTAATATTCAAAGATTGACAAAAATTATGAATCATGAGTGGGCAACAGATGACTACAGAATACGAACTCAAATTCGTTCTGAGAAACAACAGAAGTGCATATTCAGTTACGATTATGATCTTGAGAGCATACGCAAGAGTGAATCTGGCTGATGAGCATAAATGCGGAAAATGGAAACGCTAGGATATCGCTTACCTTGCGTTGTTCATTGTCAGTCGTAGACTTCTCTTTGTTGAACTCTTTCTTCAAAGCTTCGAGTTTAGTAGGTTCGGCCAAAGCGTGGACATCGATGCCCTTGCAGCGCGCTTGCCATGCAAAAACCTGCGCTTCATTGGCCTCAACTACTTCGCCGGTATATCTGAAGGGAAAATTGAAGTACCAAGCGGCGTATAGGTAAGATCATCAATAATGGCATTGCGGATTCTCACCTGATAAAATTTTCTCCAGCAAAGCGTGCGGCTTCTTTCTCTTTTCCTTGTACATTCGCGAAGGGATTTTCCCTCATGGATCGAGACTTCGGGTCATAGTATGGTGAGTTTTCCGCAAGGTTGAACAAGTATTTAGCAGTGTCTTCGCGGATTCTCAGATTTCGGACCTGAACAAGAGAGATAGTAAGTAGATAAGGTCAAATTCCAGGTACATAAAAATAAAAACTGATAGCTTGACAGTTATCAAGTACTCACAGTAATCCTAGTACGCGAATCCATATCAACGGATACACCAGCCATGTCAGCATCTTCTGCATACTTATCGTCATCGGTAATCACGCCTTCCTTGCCAGGATCAAGAAGACCAGCTTGGATCTAAATTTATGTACGTAGCAACACACATTTTAACAACAATTTATATTATTTCCAACATACTTGTTCAGCGCGAATTGCTTTCCTTGCTTCCTCCAAATGTTCGAACTCCTTGATGACCTAAATTTATCATTATAATCGAAAGCTTCGAGATAAAACTAATCACAAAGAATAAAACATACTTGCTCATGCGTGCTCGGATCAAATCCGTTCCATCGATCCCTTTTAGCATCAAAATCAAGAAGGAGGTTCGGTTGTACGTAATCGTCTGGGGCGATGTCTTCACCAGTTTTACTGAATTAATGTGGTCATGATGACCAGACTGATCGATCAGCAAATAACAACGAAGGCATGAAGTTTACTACTTTGAACATGAATTTACGAAGTACTCTAGATTTCAAATAGAGCTGCATACTCTGATTAAGTTGTGTATTTTCAGAATCATTATGTAGTTTGACTCATGCAAATGGTATTTGCGGATATTATACAAATGAGTGACTCACGCTGCACCGATCTTGCGAGGTCGTTCGAAGCAGTCACGCTTGACGTGTCCAAATGCACCACAGTTTTCGCAGGCACCTAGAAAAAAGGTGTGAATGAAACTGCGTTATTTGGAAAACCGGACAAAAATGATTTCTCGTCGTAATATTTGACGGATTATGCCTTCCCACTCGTTGGCCTTCGACCAACCGCATGGTCAAGAAAATGAGCTTCGAGGCAGATTCACAATGCCGGTGATGAATTAAGTAAGGCCCACCCCAAGTTTGAGTAGCGAAATTTTGAACGAAAAAGAGCCTAGAAAGTTGGAAATTCAATACTCTTCCCTTTTGTGGATGAGGTGGATGTTCTGAAGGCACTGAGCCCAAAAATAGGCATTGGAGGCTGCAAAAGTGGAATATCGCGGGTATTCTGAGGCCCAGCACTGGATTTATTATTGTGACGGGCAGTAGACGGATCTCCACCGTTCTAGAACGACTGTCTCTTCTCAAAATTGATGGCCTGCGAAAAACCTTACTGAGTTTCCTCACCGCATATACATCAAAATTTCACAACTACATTTTGGTGGGTAGCGGAACGAAAGCCGCCAGCTTCGGTCGCGTGCGCGGACTGCTGGTCCTGAAACGACATGCAACAACGTTGCGAAAGGACCAGTTAGCCGCGAAAGACGGCTCAAACTGGCGGCTTTCGTTCCCCTACCCCATTTTGGTTGGACACCCTTCACATCTTGTAGCTTGCAGTTTTAATGCTCACAAACGCCCTCATTCAGCTCCAACATCAAATCAAATCAAATATATAAAGAATCGTAAGCGCAATTCAAAAATGTGCACATAGCGGGAAACCACGTGGCGGTCCCGTAGCGAGCGCATGCTACTACAGTGCTGGCCAAAACTATAGATCCACTATAAAAAACTGTCGTAGTTCGTCTGCTTCTCAACGAATTGATCTGAGATTTGGTACAGTTGTGTGTTCAACAGGCATTCATCAGTGACCGGAGCGGATTCAGCTTTCGTTAGATTATTCAGGAAAAAAATTAAAAATTTCGAAAAAAGCAGGCTCGAAAGTTGGCCAAAACTATAGATCCACCCAAAATTTCTGCCTGCTAACGTGATTCTTAGCTTCCAAAATCTTTTGTGCATAAACCTAGTCGAAAGTCAAAGCAGTGGGTTTAGTTCAGCTGCGTCATACCTTTATAAGAAACGCTTATCTGCTTTTTTCCACTCAAAAACTGCTCTCATGCGTATTTTGTTCCCGAGAATGTGTTTTTATGAGGATTCCGCACTTTTTTGACTGGTTTGAAAGTGATAGGGCTCCATCTATCTTATAAATGCTTAGCAGCGTGAGCAGTAAAAAAAATTCGGGTTTTCGTATCCAAAGCGCACCTGACACAGACATAACCGTAGGCCTGCGCTCGAATTTTTGCCTTCAAAATTGGTATCCGCTATTTTTATAAGCTCAAAATAATGTAGAAGCATTATTTAGCATTATTCACCTAAAAAGAAGTTTGTAAACTATAGTTACGATTGCTTGCGAAGTCGCACTTTAATTCTTTTTCAAAGCATAAGTCTTGCGGTGTGTTCGGCAATCTCAAAGTACTTACCAACTGGTACCTTCTTTGAATTTTGCCACTTTTTAGCTGCTAACTATTGAATACACCCTGCAATATATGTTGCCTTGTGATTCACATGAGCATTATGGTCAGAAGCAGAAATAACTTCAAGGCTTGTTGCAAATCACTTTTTGCAGGATGAAGTCCTCAATTAACCTGCATACTAGGATCTGCAAAAACCTGCAATCACTGCATACGGACTCTCATACATACCAACAATGTATCTACTCCAGTTCACGCTCATGACAACGTTGCAGAAAGAGCTTGAAGGCATAAATTTGAACGCAGGCCTGCGGTTAGGTCTATGTCAGGTGCGCTTTAGATACGAAAACCCGAATTTTTTTCTGCTGCTCACGCTACTAAGCATCTATAAGATAGATGGAGCCCTATCACTTTCAAACCAGTCAAAAAAGTGCGGAATCCTCTACAAAAACACATTCTCGGGAACAAAATACGCATGAAAGCAGTTTTTAAGAGGAAAAAAGCAGATAAGCGTTTCTTATAAAGGTATGACGCAGCTGAACTAAACCCACTGCTTTGACTTTCGACTAGGTTTATGCACAAAAGATTTTGGAAGCTAAGAATCACGTTAGCAGGCAGAAATTTTAGGTGGATCTATAGTTTTGGCCAACTTTCGAGCCTGCTTTTTTCGAAATTTTTAATTTTTTTCCTGAATAATCTGGTGAAAACGGAATCCGCTCCGGTCACTGATGAAAGCCTGTTGAACACACAACTGTACCAAATCTCAGATCAATTCGTTGAGAAGCAGATGAACTACGGCAGTTTTTTATAGTGGATCTATAGTTTTGGCCAGCACTGTAGCACCTTCAATTGCTGGTTCACTAGTAAGAAGGAAAGTAGGAAGAAATGATCTTAGAGCGTATTTCGCAAGAGAAGTATAGACAGGACGAAAACTACCTTTTCTGAACTTCGTAGCAGCCTTTCCTGTAGTACCTTTCTTATACCACTCGTCAATGGTTGCCATATGCTTTTGCCTTTCTGCATGAGGACGTTGATGCTATAAGGAATGTTCTATCCCCATCCAAACATAATGGAATTGTAGGACTTACTTCTAAAGTGGGTCCTTCACTGGGTACGTACCAGGGATTCTGGGAGATGAACTGAGGGATATGCGGATTGATGTCTCTTCCCGTTTTAACATCAACCATAGCAGGGGCTGTTCCCGCTTTGCGCTCTTCCTTGAGAAACAGAGAGCATTAAGTTCCCATTCGGATCGCGAAGGGAATTTATAAAACAAAAGCATACTTCAAGATCCTTCTCCTTACGATACTCATTCCTGGATTTCTTCTCCGTCACATCATCTCCTCCTTCGTGGATAAGTGCCGAAGCCGGCACCATTTTACGAAAAGAGGCCATACCTATAACAAAGAAAAGCGTATGTCTTCCAAAATTTGCAACGGTCACAGTAAAGGGCGAAAAATGGGCAGATACTAGATGAAAAACTGAGATAAAGCGAAAAAGGCTCAAAAGACCTAAAACTGACAAGAAAACAGGGAGAGCTCCCATAGAAACCTATAGGGTATAAAAACAGACTTCTCTCTAAGATCTTAGAAGGGACATTCAACCAGGATGACCATATTGAATGAAAAGCCAAAAATGTAAACAAAGCATCGTCTCGCACATGCGAAATTAATGCGGCGCATATTCCTTTGTGAGCGAGCGCACGCGTAGCATTTTCGTTTAGAGCGCCTCAGGGTTTGGCAAGAATCTCTCGAACTCAAAAATAACATGTATTTTGAAGAAGGCATGGTGGAATAAACATCGATTGATCATTTATTGCTCAAATCTGGATATATCCAATAATCTTCGCAATCAGCATTTAAAAGAGTGGAGCAGTGATGAGCTTTGACAAGGACACGAACGAAAGTTCGGGTGAAGTTGTGTAGGTTAGCTTCATAAAATGTCCAAAAACTTGGAGAAATGCATAGAATCTACTTCAGAAGAATGGATAAACTGCATGGACTAAACAGGTCTTCAATAGGAAGACCAAAAAGAACCAAGAATTGACTATGCTTTGATCTACACATAGACGGATCGCTGCAAACGCAAACGATGCGGAATTTTCACCCTCTCATTTTATTTTACTTTTTTTTTCGAACAAACTCTACTTTTCAAGTAACGAATACGAATAAGTTTAGTGTTTCTTAACGGCGTTGACTCAACATTTCGCTTAGCTCATGGCACAACGGGGCCTCAAATTGCGAAGGAGGTCCGTTTCTGCGAATGAAGAAAATATTCGAAGAAGCATCACTAAGCTTGTAAGAAGAAATCCAGTTTTTTCATATCAATCATAAAGCTCCTTTTTTTTTGAGGATACCGATGCCGTGGAAAATGGGATGCAGAGATTATCCTTGCGGTGAGTTAATTTCTAGACCCTCACTATAAACCTCCTCTATGCATGAGTAATTGAAACTTGAGACGTTTCAAAAAACTGATGATTTCAACAAAACGATTTTTTAGTCCCCGTGGAGCTCAGAACGCACGCACTCGATCAAATACCCTTGCAGCCAATGAAATTAAAGAGATCACATCTCAGGTTTTCATTAAAAAAAATTTTTTATAAAAGCAATTCTAATATTCTCGAAGGTGCGCGAACAAGAGGGAGCACAAGGCTTTTTTGGAAAATTTTTAACAACTCTAGGGTTTCGTCGTCAGACAACTAGCGAAGGTTTGTCATTACAGAAAATTTTCTCAGTCTGCAACAAAAAAGAATATTCATAAAGACAAACGTCTTGTCAAATCAAAAATATGGTAGTAAACTCATCTCAAAGTTTACTATTGATAGAATTTTTCCTGTTTCAAGCTGAGCACAAGAAGTTTGTGTTTTTTGTCAAACATTTCCATCCATGTGAAGAGGTTTTATGCATCTTTGTTTCTGTTTTTTTAGTCTTCGATAACCAAGAAAGGAAGCAGGGTGAGGCAAAAGATCTTGAAATAACAGGCAAGTCAATCACACATTCATAATTGTGGTAGAAGAAAATTTAAGATTGTCAGATCCTACAGTAGCCAAAAAATCGTTAAACTATCGGAATATAATTCATGTTCATATTCTGATTAGGTTACCTTAAATATCAGATTAGTCCAAAAGTTTCAGAGCAATTTTTGAATATCGTAATTCTGTTTGATTTCAAAGGTTCAATAATTTTATCAAGCTAATAGTGTGGCAGTCATTAATGGCTTCATTCTATTAAGCTTACTTGGAAGAAAAATTGTTCATGCACTTTCTAATTGTATTTCAAGAGGAAAATTTATGTACAGCGACAAAGGATGTTATAGAAAAAAATGAAGCCGTATTCTTTTCCAAACGTTTGCTAAAAAAGTCAGAACCTCCAGTAGAGTTTTATTTTTTTGCAAGTGGAAAAAAAACATTGTTATGATTTGTACAAATGTTATAATTTTCTAGCTTTCTACGCGACATCTTGATCTTCAAAAAATAATCCTAATATCTAGTAAATCAAACATCGCTTGTGCTAAGAAAAGCTTATAGCATAAAGTAAAACATCTGCTAAAACATTTTCAGGATTTCTTCTAATTTTTTGGTGCAAGAGTAATTACGAGCCTAGTGATAGAGCTACACCTTGAGTTGCCGTGAAGTAGACGTGTTTAGAAAAAAGTGAAAAAATTAAAGCAATTTCAGCAGTAGCATTCACATGCTGTTGGACTAATGATTTAGAAACGTGCTTGATTTGGTACTAATTGACTTGCAGATAACTCAATTTACGAGTCAGTCTTGGATGAAGATGAGGATGAGGAAGCCGCAGAATATCATCGCATTGGTTTGTTCAGAGAGATTGATCTTCAGTCGGACCATCGTGATTTCCTCGTCCATATCGTAAAACATGCATTTACAGTGCAGATGAGTTTTTAGAGGTCCCTAATCCTAAAATGATAGCTGTGGTCCTGAATAATTCGATTTTAGGCCTGCTATCCAAGCACCACAGAAACGGATTGGCTTCCACTTGGAGGCCATCGTGCATTTACACTCACTAATCTTTTTCTAATAGAGGTTTTCTACAATGATCGCCTGGCTACTGAGGTTCTTCCTCTTGCTGCTTACCTGGTTGCCGTGACAGTATCGGTTCGTCCATCCTTTTCCAAACGTGAAAAAGTATTATCTTTGTAGAAACGCAAAATCTGTCGCAATCAGCTTGAAGAGCTGGCCGTAGCGGCTGTACGCCTTGCCTCAAAATTCGAATCACAGTACTGCTTGGGTCCCGATACTACAGAAGAGTTTGGCTTCGTGAAACTGAATAGAATGGAAAGAGCAGTGAGTCTAATAAATCCTGCTTTTTGAGAACGGCCACATGGTATAGCTCAAATAAAAACACAAAAAGGACAATTTTCAAACATAGCTAGAAAGTTGAAGCAAAAGTGTATGTGATACCCCTGGTTGTTAACTTGTTTTCTTGGCGCGGACTGGCATCTTTGCAAACTTGGTTGGGCAGCGAAAAACATCTGATGCAGTAATAATTTACTAAATTTGCGCGAAATGGCACTATAACCTCTCATCTTCAAGAAACGATAGAATATGCGTGGACTTCCCAATAAGGCAGCTATGAAATTTTACATAAATGCGGAAAACTTAGATCTATTAGATATTTCTGTAATTACCACCAACATCTTGAGATCTTTACGTCTTTGCAGATTTGCCGTGCAACCGACTTTCAACTACATCGTTGCAGTGCGCTGTTCTTTATGCGCATAATACAGAAATTAGTTGAGGTATGACACATATTATCAGAAATTATAGAATTTACAACTAATTCGATTGGTAAGACAGTGTTCAGTGTCGGGGATCGCAAAACTGTAATGTAGAAATTGTTTTAGTCCGTTCATAGTCGAAATTTTGTGGACATGAGTGAAACAGTTGACTTCGTCCTCGGCTTTGATAAATGGGTGACGGAAGGTGGAGGAAAATGTGTTGAAAAGTTCATTGTTCCAAATTTATTTGTTATCATTTGAACAGAGAACGTAAGAGTCAAATTTCTTTAGAAATCGGAACGGTGGAATCTACGTCTCCTTTTGCCGAAGTTGCACCAGAAGGATTTTTGCAGATGCCTTCTACTCGTACGAAATGACATTACGGTCCTTGAGAAAACTCACATTCTATCAAACTTGGCAGCCTTCAAACCTTAACGAAAAGTATAGGTAGTTCCGCAACATGACACGACCACTTAATTATAGCGAATATCAATCTTATCTATAGGCACTGTATTCATCACATCGGGACTTTTTTTGTACCTTGAAGGATTGAGGAGTTGCGATGGAAAGGGTTTTGTACGTGCGTATGAGTTTTCTTTCACAGACACTAAGATTTTGCGTTTCTAGAAACAGTAGAGGATTCCACCACATACTGTAATTTGTTTTACATTTTTATCAAGGGAAGGAGGTATAAACATGAACTATCTTCGCAAACTGATAGTCAAATGAGAAATTTTTCATTGAAAGAATGGTTCTACTTGTTAAGTTTTTCACTGTTCGCAGAACAAGAGATAATCCATATTCTTACTAGTGCAGCAACATACGTGGCAATGGAAATTTGCAAAGATCGCTAACCAGCTGGCTTATTGCCAAATGGAACTAGCAACGCTAAGACCAACCCTTCTTGCCGGTGTGGTGATGCGGCTGTGTTGTCTTCTTGTCAGTGATGACGAATGGGTGAGCCTAAATTGAGTATTCTGAGCTGTTCTCAAATGCAATTTGCATTTCAGCCGGAAGAGTGTTATACAGTTCTTGGCGAACCCATTGATGACTACGATGAACCTCATGCCATACTCTGCCGTCTTCTACTCACTGTGCGCGTCGAGGATGCTTTTGCTGAGGTAGGTAAGAAAGAATTTGTGTACGACTTGTTAAACGATGCATATAATATACTCATAGTTTGGGTAACACCCATACGTATATAACCAGCTATAGCTGCTCGCTACCGTAATCCTACCGTTACCCCATAAAGACGAACTGGTGAAGCATGCGTATAATATCGTCGATAGAATAAGTAAAACTTATATGAATCACCCGCGAATTTGTAGCTGCTCACTACCCTTCCTACTGTAATTTCATGAAGATCAATTGGTGAGGGATGCTTTGATAAGTACATTCAACCGTGATTCACTGGCGCGTTTGTAGGTCTGTCCCGCTACCGTAACTCTACCGTAATCCCGTGCAGGTGGTTGTGCATGTATGGGTGGGCATATTAGCTGAAAATAGTTTGCAAGACGCCCCTGCTAAGATGTTCCTTCCCTACATCGCTTAGTACAGATTTCCGTTCAAAATTTCCCTCGTCTATCGCATTATTTACAAGATGTCGCACGTCATTTCAACGAGCGCAAATTCACAGCCCTCAACGTGCTAAAACCAATAATTTTTCAGCGAGATGCAATTGCGGCTGTGGATAGACTACCCTAACAATATAAACGACTTTGAACAGACTTGAAATCAACTAAAAATCCATTCTGAGCTGGTGATTGTATAGTTTCCGCGCAATCTCTTTCCCGCACAAACTTTTCTGGTGAATTTTATAGTTTATCATGGAGCTCGATTACGATAGAACATATCTACACATTCAATTTATCGTTTCTCATAAATAGTGCATAAGATTCTTCATAGAAATCCAACAATTCCGCAAGTCATTGTGAAAAACTTGCAATTATTTCAGGCATACGTACGATTCCATCATACTATCGAGCGAGCCCTTTCCTTCCGACCAGGTTGGATCGAAGAGCAATCGGCACCTGCTAACAGAATTAGAATGGTCGGAAATCGTATATTCCATGATTAATCTTTTACTAGTTCTACATAACGCAATCTCTCCAACTCTACAACTATGTACAATACGCTCGTAAGTTGTGAAAAAAATCGTCGCACCCACCGGAGTTCGCCGAGCTTTAGTCGCATTGCCATATCTTGCTTCGAAGTTGGCGAATTCTCAATCCAGAAGCTCCACTCAACCCAGCTCGAAGAGATGCTTTCTTTGATGTATAGAAGTGCCTATTTGGGCACGATAGGCTGTCAAATATCAAGGATCGCCAGATTCTTGCTCACAGTAGGTTACTCAGAGTGTTTAATCATACAACGAACGACCAAGCTACCGAAACAAAAATTGAAAGGGTCCATGAAATTTGACCGACTGTCGTGCCCAAACAGGCACTTCGATATATCAAAAGATGCACCTCGTCGAGCTGAGTTGAATGGTGCTATTCGATTGAGAATTCGTCCACTTCAAAGCAAGATATGGCGATGCAGCCAAAGTTCGGCGAACTCCGGAGAAGTGCTGTGATTATTTCCACAAATTACGAGTGGTGTTTTATTTCACGTTATGTCTAATCAACAGATTTCTAGATTTTGTACATTGATAGTTTTAGTACAGATTATAACTATAGCTTTTCTCCCTTCGTTCACAATTTCGTCTTATGATTACTTATGATAATAAAGATGTTTACAATTCGTTCTTTCGACGCAGTGCTAGATCAAACGCTGGAGAGATGGTGCTGATTGAAATAATGGCGAAAGTCCACTCGTCCAAGAAAAGACTACTGACATCCCCCAAAGAAGATAGGTATGCAGTAACTATGAGTATTATTTTTACTAGTTTTTAAGAAAAGGCGGAAAACAGACGAAGGATCTAAACACTTTATCTCTACCAGTAAAGACAATTAATACATATTCTAAATCAGTTCGCCTAAATACACACAATTACTGCTATTTCATACGTCAGATCTTACTAGTGAGAGAAGGTATATGACAATGAGACGCCACATGCAGTATGCCAACCAATAATGTACACAAAGCAAAAGCGCAGTCCTCGCTGCAGAATCGATCAATCGAAAAGATTATCTACATTTTACATATGTACAAAATACAGCCAAAACGCTCTACTACAGACAAAAAAACTTGCACATTTTGCTGGTTACGTGCTCAGATTTTCAACAGAAGCCTGAACAAATGTGAACAGCTAGAAAGAGTGGATTAAGTTGTCCAAGTCAATATTACGTTCCCAACTGACTGTATCGGGAAAACCCGAAATTTTACCGATGAACGACAGAATCCATTCCACTAGCGTGCTTTGGTGCAATGCTCTCAGTCTCCAAAAATAGGAGTGACTAGACTAGTATAAATTCTAAATGCGAGAGGCTTAATTCTCAAAAAACCACAGCTACTCAAAGGACCCAAATGAGAAAAAAAGAAGTAGAATACAACGATTCCATGTGCTACCAGTATGATGATGTACAAAAAACCTGACGAAGTCCTAGAAGAAGCACGAGACTATGAAGTGATGGAGAACATATGATGTGACGATGTACAATGGTAGGCAGTGACGTCAGATGAACCGTGCGTTTCTAATATTTCTATCATATTGAAAAAGACATCTAGCACTCGAAAACTTCTAGGACTTCCCCCATCCCTTTAGTTTTTCCCTGTCGAAATATGAGCGGCGTTGCTGGGCGAATATATTCCGGACTATTCATGAGCTCAAACATCACTGTAGCCCATTTTCCTTGTTCAAGCGATGGTCTATCGATATCAACAATAGCCGCCGTTTGTCGAACAGAACCGATGTACACTAAACCATAAAGTCCTCCTAACGCAAAAACAAAAAAGAAAAACGAAAGTAAAAAAAGAAAACTCGAGAACAAACTGGAATGAATTACCTGTTGCCTGAAAACCAGTACAGAGATGTCGAGTTGGATGTGACAGCAAAAACAGCGATGCCACAAATCTACGAGAACAAGTTGGCTTAGTTGCAGCAGAAAGCAACACCATTCCCTGAAGAAAACGAAGTCTTTCATATACTATTATACTTTAAACTGAAGAAGGCTTACCCTTCTGAGAGGAAGATTTCCTTTTGACCGTCTGTTCAGAGCTATGCTGACAGCTTCTCCAGGTAACACCGCTTGCACTGGCTGCCGACTACGTCTGATCGAAGCAATATAAGCCTATAAATAGTGATGTGCAAAATCAAACGCATCAGGACATCCTCATTAAAAAACGGGTTGACATCTATGTTTTTTACCTTCTCAAAGCTCCCATCCTTGTATGGCCCAACTAAAACGAGGTCACCTTCATGTAGCCGCCCCTCGCAAAGCACGCCACCGACCACGGTTCCCACCTGAAAAAAGATGTGTACAGGCTATATACATTCAAGAAATTATAAAAGGTGAGTTTGCCAAGTAAAGCAAAAAACGAACGTGCGGCACATTGTACACCTCTTCGATTGTGAAGAACGGAGGTTGGGAAGCGAGCTGAAGTCTTGACCCTGTCGTACCCGTTGGTGGCAGTACGTTCAGAAAACACCGGAACAAACCGAGACCAGCGCCAGTAACAGAGGATACACACATGATCGGCACTGTACCAATCGTACAAAGATCGCCAGCAGCCCTGAGGAAAGATGGTATAATCCATATTATCAAATCTATCGATACTCAGGAAATCAAGTTTAAAAGAAGGAAGACATACTTTACTGCGTCTCTTTTCCGCTTCACTCGCTTGCTACCAGCACTCATTCCAGCACGCGAAAGCAGCGTCGATGTAGAGGCAATGACCCTAAAAGTACTGCATTCCAGTATTTTTATTGTTTTGAGGCGTATCAGTTGATCGAGTCGGATATGGCTTTCGACAAGTCAAGAAAGAAGCAGCAGCTCAAATGACTTTCTCCTGAACCATACTACCTACACCTTCAAAATGACAGAAAATTCACTGACATGAGATCAGAAAACACTAATGCTCAAAAAACTGACCTCTCCAACTGCTCCTTTTCAACGAGATCCCACTTTGTGATAATGACAAAAATGGGGATATTTAGTGCAGCAGCCAATCCCAAATGCTCTTTCGTCGCAGCAGTGGGTCCCGTTTCGGCTGATACGAGCCTTAATGCATGTAATTATTTCCAAAAACCCAAACTAAGAAGCTGAAGTGAGGTGTAAAACTCACAAGCAAGCAAAATGTGGCTTATATCCTGACAATCCATGAATAGTTGTTTTCAGGTATTTGGAATCACCAGCCAAATCAATCAAAGTGACCAACTTCTTAGACCGCTCTACTAATTCCTCTAAGCTATTCTGAGCATAATTGACGAGCTGAAAACACTTAAGGTCAAAACAAGAACAACAACAAACAGGCTTGCAAATACAAAAGACAAGAGTGGACGTTCATATCACTCACATCTCAATTTAATAATGCGCGTGTTAAACAAAGACCGAAACAAATCTAATACGAACCTTCCCTCGAGAGTCGAAGCCAATGACATCAAGACAGACGGAACTAGTTTTACCACTTCGTACTTCATGTGGAAACCTTCAAAGACATTTAAACATTAAAGAAAAACTTGAAGAAGTAGGTTTTCAATTGAAACCTACCTAAAGAGATTCAGACGAGTTTTACCATTACCGTCGTCAAGCACACCCTGAGTCATCACACCACATAATGTGGATTTTCCTACATCAACACCGCCTAGAACGGCCAGCCTACAAACAAAAAAGATTTCAGAAATCAACTGACTCACATAATGAAAAGCTATTACCTCAACTCTATGAACTGTTGACTTTCAGGAACCTTGCGGACCAACACTTCAACCACCCTTCGTCGTGATGTGGTGTTACGTGGGGTCACGTCTCTTTCGGTCAACTCAAATTCAAATATAATAACGCAACTTTAAGACACAGCGAATAGAACACATTATGGTGCTTTGAATTCGATACAATAGCAAACTACTTCAGTGCAGTCTGCTAATCAACCTAATTTAGACTATCATGTAAGAAATAAACAAAACTGACGGTGATGACCACCTAACGCGCATGCGCTCGCCTTCCTTATCCCACAACTAACTAACTAACTAATAGATACTAAGCACATAAAAATCAAGAAATCAAATAAAAAGCAAATGGTACTCGGAGAATATGATAACAAAACTCACAATAACCATGCTAGCACCAAGAGCACTTGCCATAGTTCTCAGAGTAGTAAGTGAAGCCTCCAATTCTACATCAGACAGGCCGCTCATCTGACCTCCGTCTTCCACGCCAACCTGCAAGAAGGATAACCATTACAAAAATAATAAAAATCAAGAAATTAAATAAAAGGCTACTTGCGTTTCAAAAAATGAACATATATGTAAATAACTCACCTCATAGATAGCTTCGCCTTGTCCTTCTCGCAAACGCCATTTCATCTGAGTGATCAAATGCTGAAGACGTGATGAAGATGGGTTAACTAAATTGACCTGGAAACGACCAAAAATTGGGCATAGACAGAAAAGCATTTCAAACGAAGCACATAAAACAACTCACTTTATACTCAATATTACCAAGTTCCATCTCTGGTGGTAAACAATTTTCTGCATTTGAGACATTTTTGTCAGTATGTAGCAAAGCGCACATATCATCGTCAGCAGACTTTCTGTAACAAAAACTGTTTTATAGATCTATCTATGTGAACCATGTCTAGATCTACTCTATCCCGTTTGCAGCAGAGCTTATACCTAATACCAAAATAAATGAGTTGAAGACTTCCTCACATAAGTTGCAGGAACAATTTCACTCCACATCGACCATCATTTCGCGATTAAAAAAAACTATCCAACAGTGAAGTTTTGTGACTGACTATATCGTGCAAACATTAGCGGCGTAGATAACCATTCGGATACTATTCATATTATTCATAGCACAACGCAAAACGATTTCTTGGGTGGAAAACAGGATGCACCATCGCGAAAGCGCCCCATCAAGTTCGTAAAACCGCTTTACGCGCATGCAATCAACAGCGTATTCCTTTTATCATGAGCGAAAAAAAAAGGTTCAAAGTGGAGGGTGCCACGAAATTCTTTCGATCTCCCTCTATCATAAGCGAATAAATTGTTAGGTCTGCCAGTTGCTTCGCTTCTCCAATTCACACGGTGAACTCAGACGGTCACGAGTACTTGGCACTCAAGCAGTGCTATTGGATTCTAATCCCAAGCAAAATGAAGCCATTCCCAAGCTATCGCAATCACTGCGGCACTCTCATCCTAGTGCTTTTTCCTAAAATCAAAATGTAACCAAAAGTAGAGGGCGTTGCCTCCAATTTCCAGAACTATTAGTTCCGAAACAACAATACACATGTTTCGGCGGAGAACATCAGGCCATGTGCTTCCTTTACATGGGCACTCTTCCTCATTTGAGACAAGAGTTCATAACTTGGTGATAAGAAGAAAGTAGTTCCTTCTCGAAAACTGGAATTTAAAAAATTCGAAATGGCGCAAAGGTACTTCTACTAAGCTACAAAAGGCCACATCTCTACTACCCTATGGCAAACAGAGCCAAAGTTTACGCCAATTCAAAACTAAAATTTTGTTGCTTACTGTAACTTAAGCAGAGGTGAGTCATCACCAAATGCGTTTGGAAGAGCATAAAAAGATGTGTCCAACTACTATATGAGCAAGAGTACCAGACGAGCGACTACCAGAGTAGCTCACACGTGCTGAAGGGCTGTTCTGCGTTTGATCAACTGCGCAGAAGGTCAATCTCACATTGGATGAGCGAAATAAACTAATCAGACCTCCTTCGCACGATGATATGCTTATGATATTCCACGATGATTATTCCTACAGCTTGATGGAAGTTCAGTTCTCATTGACTGTCCATTACCCGCGCCATCGGTATTATGCGTATTTATCTGATCTCTTGTTTGGGATGAAATACGAAGCAAAGTCAGCGATTCTAGTGCTGCGCGAGCAGTAAACCAGCTGTCACCGCGAAACATTGACAACGCAGTAACTACGTCATTCATCCACTTGAGAAAGTCACGCGCAAAGCACACAAAACATCCAGGCAGAAAACTCAACAGTTGGCATGAGATTTTGTTACAGATGAAAATTCATACATTTTTGAAAAATCGGTACAAAACGAAAATTACAAAGTCCCCACCTGTTGATTGTGTTGAAAACATGATGCGCTTGCTCTTCACAAAATTGAGAGATCATGAAATCCATGATGCCACGATAGTTTTTACTGGGAGATCGTGCCTACAGCGAGTGGATTCGAGATGTAACGTTATTTAGGCACGTAACCGATCGATCATTCGCGGCTGCCTCTGAATTTTGTGACATAATTTCAGAGCTCATACGGTTTAAAACGCGGTAAACTATGTAGGAATAATTTGGTATAACGATGAAATGAAAGGCAATGCAGACTTGAAGGAAAGAGAAAAATATGACGCACACATAAATACATAAAATACGCCTGGTCTAGAGAGTGGAACCAGTCTTATCTATGCTAGCAAACAGATCCATCATTCGTATGTCACTCACGAAGTTTGACTATACTGACATGATCACCTAACATGAAAGGGCATGCTGTGATCAAAACCATAACAGTGTTTCGAGAACAAAATAGATGCACGACTGGAAAAAATCTGGGCAAATGATGTAGGAGAAACGACGAATATAAATCGTGAACGGTACGATAGGAACAATGTCTGTTTTTGTACTGAATAAAAAGTTTAGAAAACTCGTCCAATTTTGAACAAAATTTATTATCGCTTGCCAAGCGGAATTCAGCAAAAAAAAAACTACTACCATTCTCAAGGTGTTTCTTAACTCCTAACCAATAATTTTGTAGATCATATTTAGCAACCTATATACATGTCCTTCTGATAATGTGTAAAGATGCAATTGTCAATAGTGAAACTTGATCACGCTGTTGATTACGTCAATTTTAACTAAGGCTGCTGAAAACCGCACTTTTACCCAACATTCAATTCTTGTCCAAGCCTGTTTGGAATTAGTAAAAGTAATTGTGACCCAGTTTGATAAGTCGAAGAGGTTTCGGCGGTCATGACCGACCATGAATGATGTCAATCAAAGCTACAAAGACGATACAAGACCTGGAGATCAAGTCAAGATCATGACGATATCGCTGAAATCGTCAAATTTCAGACTTGATAGCTTAGCATGATGATATAATGATGGTAAGCATGGAGCCTCCCTGATTTCAAGATTTTCTAGACTTAAAATTATGGTAGTAACTTGTGAGTGATCAATTGATAAACATAAGTGAACAAGTGATCAATACATGCAGTAAACACAAAAGAAAGATACTCATGCAACAGTGGCGTACCCAGGATTTCGGCTCGGGGGGGGCGCGACAAAAAAATTTTTCTAAAGAAGGTGCGTGGCGTTAGCCACGCACTCCGAAAATTTTTTTGGGGTGCTTCTCAAAACTTTTGCGGGTCCCCGACCCCTAAAATCTAGAAAAAGGGGGCGTGGCGTTAGCCACGCCCCCGGGAAAAATTTTTTTACAAAGCTAATTTGAATTTTTAAAAGTTTTTAAAAATTATTTTAATTATTTGCAAAAATAAGCAAGTCACTTGCACATTTTTATAACCCACATAGATAACTTTCAAAAATTTCGCGACCCATTCTCGGGGGGGGCGCGCGCCCCCCCCGCCCCCCCCCCTCGGTACGCCACTGTCATGCAACTATTATCGACAGAATAAGTACCGAAAGCAAACCAAAAAATGTTGAAGAACCAAAACATGGAAGGCAAAATAACGCCCAATTGTCAGCTATCAGAGAACCTCCGAAAAGTAGACGAAACCAAACACTTGCGAGCCTGTTGATAAGATAGGACGCTAGTTGTGATTCACCTAGTGTCGACTGAACTGAAAAACAGCAATGACAGCAAATGGACAAGCCTAGAGTGTATGCAGTCAATATGAAAAGTATTCACACTAGCAACAGAAAAAAAACGACCGGTTATGAACAAATGGGTAAAGAGAAGCGATAGCCATCCTCTTCATACAAATGTTAAGAAGAGACAGTTTTAGAAAAGAAAAACGGCCAGAACGATAGAATATCTTACGACAAAAACAAAGATATAGGCTTTGCCAGAAGCTGAGAAACCAGTCTGAGGAGGTGGAAACGTGCCAGCGGGGATTCCCAAAAGCGCGCCGCGTTGCCGCTGCACATTCAGATAGAGCACAATTTTCGCAAAGTCGCAAATTGAGACCCTCTGATGAATGACAGCCGAGAGGCGGATGTCACTTTTTGCAGCTGCTAACAAAAAGCCTGAAAATCTCCGATGAAGCTATAGGTTTTTGGAAAACAAGAGCCGAAAGATTGGTTAGTCACATTTCTCGAAAACACTGCCAATTATCGATGGAACGCTTGAAATTGCCGAAAAGTTCCTGAACTCTTTCAAAGCTTGAAATTTACTGTGTTCTTTCGACTATCCAAACCTATACAATGCTCTCCTATAGCTGTTGATAAGTCGAAACAGTTTTTGAAATCTAAAGGACAGTTGTAACTTGAACAGATTACTATTCGGTTTATCGAAACCGCCAGTATACAGTAGAAACAAAAGACAAAGCGTAATTATGTGGGGTAGACATTTCTAGACATTATGGCAAGAGATTGCATCAGTTTCACGCCTTCGCTGACGTTTTTCGTATGGCGTTTTATTGCACAACATTTCATCATTTCACTGAACAATGCATGAATCAGTGCTCAGTAAACAACTTGCTTGAAATTTGCTATTTCGTAGCAACTAATAGTAAAAGTGGAGTCCTGATCATCGACATATATTAAAAATGAGCTAATGATCTAATAGTAAGAGAAAGTAGGATGCATCTAATATGGTAGCTTTCATCGTTGGATTTGGGTTTTTTTGTGAGATACGTATGATTTTCTAACCAAGTGACACGAGCACGCTTTGCGTAGGTCTGATTAAAAGTTTAAAAATTCCTTCTAAAGCGTTTTTAGATATTATGCTATCAGGATCCGTATAAGACAAGTGCAAGCTTGTTAAAGGCACCGTCCACCCTAGGTTAGGGGTCTGGAGTTCTTGGAGGCTTATAATAGTAGCACCCCTTACCAAGCCAATGCCCAAGCCGCGGCGCAAATTGTCGGCAAAAGTACATTAGGACCCCAGGGGCGGTATGCAACAATCGCCCGTCCGGGTAAGTTACTCGGACAGGTAGTTTCCGCTTCATAGTTCGGTGCTCCGGGGATCTTTGTTCTTCCTTGTTTGTTCATCCTTGGGAGGCTCTACTACCCTAATATTGTAGCACAATGATTAGCAGCACTCTGCTGTATAAGCTGAGATAATTCGTTATTTGTATGATCCCGAACGGGATCTCCCACTGATCACGCTCTTTTTCAGAGTTATTTATATCCGCAAAAACTCAAGGAAAACGTCACAGAGTTTTGCTGTCCATTTATTACGAAAGTGCTACGCATGTTTTTAGTAGCACAGATGAAATGTGCAAGTTTTGAGCATTTCGATAAAGCCCAATTCGCGAGCACAGGTTCAGCGAAGATTTTGTCAACTTGATTTTTCACTTATTTCTTTCACAAACATGCCTAGCACTGTCGTAATAAATGGACAGCAAAACTCTGTGATGTTTTCGTTGAGTTTTTGCAAATATGAATAACTTTGAAAAAGAGCGTGATCAGTGGGAGATCCCGTTCGGGATCATACAAATAACGAATTATCTCAGCTTATACAGCAAAGTGCTGCTAATCATTGTGCTACAATATTAGACTAGTAGAGCCTCCCAAGGATAAACAAACAAGGAAGAACACAGATCCCTAGAGCACCGAGCTACGAAGCGGAAACTACCTGTCCGGGTAACTTACCCGGACGGGCGATTGTTGCATACCGCCCCAGGTCAGCACCGCCCTCCAGTAATGCCTGCCATCCATGTGCGCCCTCCATCCCAGTTCCGAGAGGCCGGCATGCGTGTACTCATGACGGGAGCTGGGGTCTCCGTGGATTCTGGACTTCATATTCGTCAGGGATATGAGAAGGCCCAACGATCAAAAGAGAAGGCCCAACGATCAAAACATGGAAGTCGAGCATCTGAGTGGACGGTCCTTTAAACAACGCGATTTTGAACATGTTCTTTCACACACACCTAATAAGTTTACCAGAAGGCGTTAGAACCTCATGAACTTTTCAATCAGAAGTACGCAAAGGAGTCTCCTAGTCAGAGAATAAATGATAATTCCTTAGATCTGCACCTTCTGTAACATGGCCCGTACATTCCATGCGATTTGGCAATGCTTGATTTTTCCATAATTCATCGTGAGCACATTCTAAATGTACAGAATAAAGGACATTTCATACTGTGTGTCTGTAGTCTGTCAATGTTGGATTTGGAAACATAAGTTTTCGCATGGCCACTGAAATCGCTTGAAGTATGCCAGACTTTAGTACATACCAGCGGCGTACCCAGGATCTCGGCTCGGGGGGGGGGGGCAAAAACTTTTTTCAAATGAAGGTCCGTGGCGTCAGCCACGCACTCCGAAAAAATTTCAGGGGGGCTTTTCAAAATTTTTGCGGGTCCCCAACCCCTAAACTTTGGGAAAAGGGGGCGTGGCGTCAGCCACGCCCCCGGAAAAATTTTTTTATAAGACCAATTTGAATTTTCAGAAAATTTTGAAAAATATTTTTATTGTCCCCGCCCCCCCCCCCTCGGTACGCCACTGGTACATACATTTATGCAACACTTGCATCCTCGAATCACTGCAACTTATGCTCTTGCACATCATGCGCTTATTTGACAATTTCTAGGGCTAAAATGCTCATTTCCAGGGCTATCGTGGGACTGATGATTCTTACCCCATTTATTATCATCAAAATCCGAAACTTATGGACTCGAGAACGCTTCAAACATTGACTAGATGAGCTCGAACTTGCTCATCCCTGGGTTCCTGGATCCAAGTAGTAAACAGTGATAGATGGGTCACCTGTATAAACTTGTCAACCACACGATCACCTTGTTGTGTGCAAAGCGTTTGCGAGCCTTCCCGACTCAGAATGAATGATATTTCAGCGGACTACCCACAGTCAGGGGGCTCTATGTAGGTCACCGGAATTTTCAACCCACTCACATAAGCATGTCAGAGAAACACACCTGCAAAAAGCAAGTGTGGATCAACATGGTCTCGCGCTTCATTACACTTCCTAGGAGGGTACGCTCTGATTTCGACATTTCAAATGTTTGTAATCCCGTATGTGTCCAGTAGGGGAGATTTGGAGAACCTGAAGTGGCAAAACGGGATTTCGCCGATTCACCGATACAGCCTTGAAAAAGGGGATAGTTCCTGGGATTTGCAAGCCATATCTCACGTTTGACCTTCATGCTCAACTTTTTCGAGTGCAAAACTGCTGCTTAACTAATGATCATGCGAGTCATGACTTTTGACGGCTTCTCCCCCGAAATAGATGCAAAGAATGCCAAATCTTGGTAAGCATCTTTTACTGTCAGATTCCTACTGACCTAAGCAACAACACCATTATTAGAGAACGATTTCATCTATCCTTCATCATCCAAAAAATAGTCAAAAACATTTGGCTTTACCATACGGTTAGTAGACAACGGAGGCAGTTCCAAAGGAGGACGAGAAACAGAGAGTCCTAAGGAGGTACTAGTATGTTGTACAGGTAGATCAATAGGCGTACTGGGATGCAACATCGGAAGACATAAAGAATTATGCATGAAATGATTTTCCATTGAAGGCATACTCAAACTGTGGCTTGTGCGAATCAGAGAATCACGGGAAACAGAAAGGTCAAGAGTACCAGGCAATAATGAATCTTGTGGCAGAACAAACTCGGTGCTACGGTTTCGTTCAGGAAAGGCCAGCCGAGGCAGTTTCGTCTCCAAAAGACACACATACATCTGCGTCGTTCGTGTTATCAATCTCCGCATGGTGAGAACCTATAAGAATGTTGTATGAGAAAAGTGGGAGTAGCTTGGAAAGGAGATTCAGGTATTGATGTATGATTAGTAACTACAGAAAATTTTCATATGCACTGTTAAATGATTGATTTTGACATCACATTTCTCTGTGAGATCAGATTTCTGATAATGATGTCAAAATCCATCGCCTATGCAGTGCATATGAACATTTTTAATTTTTTTTTTGTGCTGTAAGATCAAATTACGTCAGAAAAATTCAGATGTCTAATACACTGCCTGATTACCTGAAAGTTGTATTTGCTTGACTTGCTTGCCTCATTTACCCTTTTCTTGTGATCCTTGGTGAGAGGAATTAGCAAGACCGAGTGAGTCTCTTGGCGACATCTATAATGACATAATACAACTGCAACGTTTGAGAAACGTTCCTTACTTGCTAATGATTGTAAACAGCCTGTCATAGTACAGATTCAGTGCTTCACGCCTGGCTTTCCACCACCTCAGAGGAAGGCTGCACAAAATCTTGTTGACGACATTGAAATTGAAGAAATCTGGATTTTCAAATTATAGAACAAAGCTTGAAAAGAATAAAATATGCTCCCACCTTTATTAAACTCCGCTGCGATGAACTGCAAATGCCTGGCTCTACTACCCGCTTCCTTTTTGAGATGATTCTGGAGCCCAACCCAGTTCACCTCAGCCATAGCCAACTGGTCAATTTTCGGACTCATGGCAATGCAGTAGCACTGTAATATGATACACATCAAATCATGCATCCTGGAATTATCTCTGCAACAATGAATCAATGAGAAATTTAAGAAAAATTTGCTATCCAATTCTGCCAGATAGCCACAAGGTGCCTTTATAAACTTTGCCACGCTCTTGTAAGTTATCTTCAAAAACCATTCAGATTGGAAAAATTTGGGAAGTATGCTGTTGAAGAGGAGCATGCATGAAAAGGCAATGATAAAAAAAATTTACATCATAATTTCTCAGGACTTCTAGAGTCAATTCTCCACAGTCGCACGCCATATCCAGAACAATGTCGCCTACAAATATATGATCATCGACTCGTAAAGGAAAATATTTGACTGACCATCATGAATATCCGCTAACTCAACGACTGTCGCCGCCACTGCTCCATTTAACTGCCAGAATGTTAGGTATGATCGGAAGACTTCTTCACTGAACAATGATCATGAACCGGAAACAACACATGACTCTGCAAATTTTGTAAGCGAACTTTTGCAAGTCTTCACATAGGGTTATCGGAGTTATCGGAGGTTTCTGTACTGCGAGCCTACGATAATGTCAAAGCAGCGCAAGACAGTGAAGAAATACTGACAAATCTTAGAACAACTCAAACAATCCTGAACGTCTTGAAACTGCCGGATCAATTATATAAGATACGGTAGAATAATCGACAGTCTATTGGGAATCTGTATGGGTGCAACTTTTATGCATTGACGTACATTTTGCCTGTCTGGGCCTAATTCGATGGCGTTTGGAATTTTTTGGGGCTCGACACAAACGGCGAGCTTCAATACTACCCTATTTTCAGGCGTATAAGGGAACGGCCATAGGTTGTCGGTGTTGTTGGTGTTGTCGATGTTGTCGGTGTTGTCGGTGTTGTCGGGGTTGCCGAGGTTGCCGGTCGTTGTAGGACCTCATGATAGCCTCCACGTTTCGCGCGCTCTCTCAACCGTCTCTGACCCCGACAACCCCGACAACCCCGACAACACCGACAACACCGACAACCTATGGCCGTTCCCTAAGCCGCACCCTCTTCACTCTAAAGGCGAACACGCCAAAAGACACTCGTACCTATAGTTACAAATGGCTGCGAAGAGCGCGCCCCATGACCCAATGCAAATTTGACCGGTGCGCAGGGCGTTTGCTGTAAGAGCGTGCAATTCAGTCACAGATGTCTACAGTCTGCCCCAATCAGGATCAGGCCGAACCGTCGGCTGAATTTGCGCACTCGCAGCGCTAGGGGTTTGCGCTGCATACGCGCGCTGTCGCAGAGAGCGAAGAGATTAAAGAGAGAGCAGACTAGCTAAACGCAGAAGTGGCGCGAAACCCTCGCGACGCGTACTCCCGCCAAGCCAATTTTGGCCTGGTTAGGATTGGGGCAGACTGTACTATTTGAGCTACATAGGCCCCAGAGAAGATCCATTGTTAACAGCTTATTATCAATGAAACGAGCTGGTACCGAGGATTTCATTGAGCCAGCGGCACAGTTGACGGAAGGGTAAAGATACATGGCTGACCTTTTTCTGTGAACTTTTTGCATGAATTTTCTCGTACAACCTTTTCTAATAGCAGTTTTATGCAGTATGACTCCGTTTCTTGATGCTAAAAGTTGGAAAGCCTTGTGTAGGCCCTTCCCTTAGTTTTTACTTTGCTTGTGTTTTGAAGAAAAATCTGGCTGCTTTGTTGCGCACTCGAAGAGCAATTTTGAATCCACATCTCGTTTCTTATACTGAATAGAAAGTATCTGTATGCTCTGATGTGATCTAAAACAACCATGAAAGGTGGACCCTTCGTTCAATAACTCAGGCTTTCTTTTCATCTGTCACAAAAATGAAGGTCAAAGGCCGGGTTTACACCACCAAAAGTCGCGAAGAAAGTCCCTTCAATTCATTATACTGCATGCATAAGGAGTTTTGGTTATGGCTTCATGAAAAGCAGTTTTATCTTCAGTGCGTCGCAATAGCTGTCTAAGGAATGTGCTAAGATGAGGAGTCAAGGACAAAGAAACAAGAGGTGTTTGAATCTTATAGGTACTTCTCAAGGACCATACCTATGCTGCGCACATCCCATGTGTGAGATAATGAACGGAGATACGTACCCTTTGATTAAACTGTCTTGGCGCATGAAATGAGGGGCCAAGCCAGTTGGAACAAAGAGTAACCAAAATCGACAAACAGGTTGTATGCTGGATAGCGTGATAACGCCCTACCCAAGCTGGAGGTACAAAAGCCTGTTACCTAAGCTGCCGAAACTGACGTACACAATGGTTCTCACGAACAGGTAAGCAATCAAAATCCATCTGTACTTACAGTGCTCACCCGCAAGCTACTACCCTACAGGGAATAGAAAACTCGAAAACGCTTTGTGTCTACAAGTTGTCTGAACTCGATGCTCGAATTTGTTTTATCCAAGTATTAAGGCAATAAAAATGAAGCATGTCACAAGTGCTTGTTAAATGGAAGCGTTCTTGAGTCTTCTAGTCTCAGAATGAATGATACTTACCTCCTAGCACTTGGATCTGCACTTTATTCGTCTTATGGATGCCGTAACATGTTCAGTAGAAGGGACTCCCTGTTTACCCACAAACAAATCACTACATTCATATCCGTGCTAAGTTCTTGGGGACCGCCTTGATGATTGACATCTTATTGACAAGATACGAAAGGTAGATCATCGCACACGTTTGCAACTGCACTTCTTCTTTTCATTCTTCTGCAAAAGAAGTCGTTCTTCCTTTAGAGTCACTTGTTTCGCGCTCGTAGTTATAGGGTGTGCGCCCTTAATCGCCAGGGTTCCCGTAGGGAACCGAGATTTGCACTGGGACATGTGGCGCGCTTTTCGCAGCCATTCTCAGACAGCCGGACCCCTCCGCCGGAGAAGTGGCAGGGTCGCGGCGTATCCCCAGCGGTGGGTCTCCCATTTGTCCGGCGGAGCCCTCCCATTTCCTGCTCCGGATACCTCCCATTTCTGCTCCGGATACCTCCCATTTTCTGCTCCGGAGACCTCCCATCTTCTGCTCCGGATACCCCCCATTTTCTGCTCCGGATACCTCCCATTTCTGCTCCGGACCCCTCCGATTTTCTCCGGCGCGTGTCTTCCAAATTTGGCGGACACGCGCCGCGCAGACCTCTGCGGCGCGGAGTCCGTCAAATCTGGCAGAGTCGCGCCGGAGAAATGGCGGACCTTTGCAGCAGGGCCGGAGAAGCCTCCCATTTGCCTGCCAGTGATGCCACCGCGATGTACCGCCCATTTGCCCTTCTCTCATTGGTCAACTGGGTCCGGCGGAGGGGTCCGATCGATTGTCTGAGTTTGTACAGTAAGTTTCGACCCGCGGAAATTGGATTGGCGGGCGCCCGCCTCGCAACGGTTCGCGCCTTTCGCAGCTACAGTATGTTATATCGCGCTGAAACCCAAGCCTGCGTCTCTTCATTCTCCTCAGTCTTTGCTTGGCAAAGTGCCAGCGCTATGCGCTCGCGAAGCCTCCAGCGATGCGCACGCGTTGTTCCACGCAGAATGTTTCGCCTAATCCGGGATGAAACCGACTATAAGTACATATAGGTACGAGTCCAAAAGACTGGCTGTCATCATGGAACACGTTAAGTGGGAGCAGTATGCGATAAGGCGACCGCTTCGCGAGACATATGCGCGGCGGCACGCCTGGGTCTGCTCGCGTTTAGAGCAAAAAGGGTGCGGCTTATACACAAAATAGGGTACTATATTCCAGCGCTATTTCAGCGATAGCGCTTAGAAAGTAAAGAAACAGGAAATACAGAAAAGAGTAATAACATGATAACTCACTCATAGAGTAAAGCACCAGCATAGATATCGTAGCGATCAGCAAAAATCACAACATTCACACCATCTTCGAAATTTATGGTGCTTTCTTGGTGGAAAGACACGCACCAATCAACATTTTCCTCTTTCATTGCGCACCTGATATGGTGGGGTAGATCTTGTCGAACAATCTGGAGAACAACTCACTATTTGCTACAAATTTCGAGAGATGCTAACCTCCAACCCTCTACTCCATGCACTGTTATTTTCAGTAGTCACAAGATTGATATGAACTTTTAGTGGATGACACAGAGCAGCTGCCCAATCCTTATTCAATTTGGAAAGTAGATCCACACATCTGGCGATCTCTGGCACATAGTTGATGCCATAGAACAGAAGCGACAGATAACCTCGCAATTCTGAAAAATATGGCGTGACACTGTTGTGCTTTTGACATGTTACTTTTTGATTTACACACCACAATTGATAGGTGAACACGACCTTATAAAAAGCTGCAAGTAAATGGAGTCGCTATAAATTAAAGGCAGCGTCCAGACAAATCTAGACATACGGGGATCTCACGTGGATAGTAATTTCGAGGCCCTACCTAAGCCACTGCCCAACCGGCAGCTTAGGTAGTGCTCCAACGGCTGAGATATTACCCTCGAAACTGGACCCCAGGATCGTAATACGCATGAATTTGCGCAACCCATCAGTTTCGCTCGCGGGCCCACGCTTGCGCCATGAATCCATGCGAAATACACCATGAGGTCCAGTTTTGAGAAGAATGTCTCACAATCAGCAGAGCACTACCTGAGCTGCCGGTTGGGTAGTGCCTTAGTTAGGACCCCAAAATTACTTTCCACGTAAAATCCCCATGGGTTCAGATTTGCCTGGACGTTGCCTTCAGTACTGGGACAATGCAGAAAGCTTATGCCTTTATGAAAATAATACCCAAGTTTTTTTTTGCTCAAGCGACTATAATGAACCATCCATCACCACATAAAATTGCGGAAGATACGACAGAAGCGAACTTAAATTGGATATAAGAATTTTTTAAGAAAGTTTGACGTCAGATGCGTGGCGCGCCTCGCGCCGCACTCAAAGGGGTTGTCAAGATTAGAAGAAGGGTGGAACCCTGAAGTAATCACAAAAAAGAGAGGAGGTGTCGCTTTAGCACGCGCCATAGGTGATCCACTTGATGCATGAACCACTCCGCATTGGTTAAATCGATGAAATGACCAATGGCGAAGTGAAGTGGACCAAGTATGGCGTCGGCCTTTTGTGTCAGAAGACTTCAGTGCGCGAATTTGTGCGAGGCTCATTAGCATGAAGAACTGTAGTCCCGCACCCTCCCCCTTACCCTTAAAAACAAGATCAGCTGAACCTTAGTTAATTTTTGATAACGTTAGGTAGTAGACACTTCAAGTACATCGTAGGGCGAGAATACGCCTATGGCAGCACACTCTGTCTATCACTGTATTTCTATATCCGCTACTCCCTGTGTTTTCCGAGTGTTTATAGCGAGACTGTGCCGCCATGGGCGTACTTTCACTGCGAGCAGCATGCGCAATGCCGCGGCAGGCTGTCGCGTTCTGCGGCGTAGTATGAAGGGACCCAAACCGCCCGCGCAGCCAACCCGGTAGAAATAGATGGGGCCCGCGCTTAGTCTAAAGGTCACAGTTCAACGGCCCAGTTTAGAGCTATGCAAGTCTTTCAAGAAAACCAGACAACTTTTCCTAGCTTACTAGATACTATCTGAAGTTACTACCCACTAAATATGACGGCTTTTGGTGAAAAATTGACCGGTATATTTACGAACTTGTGAAAACCGCTCCTCTTGACATACGCCCTGTGCTGAGAGGCAGTGGTATGGCAAAATGGACCCCTTTCAGCTTTGGTAGCGCTAGGTAGTAGACCCTTCGACTACACCGTAGCCCCGACTCCACCCTCCAGTCCATGCGCTGAGTCCTGAGGCGGTATTTATCAGTCTCCGGAAGCGCGTCTCTTCACGGTCTCCCGCACTTTACAAGCTTTTAAAACTTGTCCGTCAGGTAGTTTTGTTACACCATCGAAATTTATATGTATTAGGCTTCGCGGGCCGTTAGACAATAAGCTTTACAACATCTTCTGATCAATTCCAAAGAAACAGATGCAAAATTAAAGATTTAAATCAGCTTCTACGGCAACTTACCAACAGGACAATCTGGATGGTCTTCGCTTGGGTGCATTTTATTATGGTAAATCTTCAAATAGACATCGTCGGCATATCGCAAACTGCGCAATCGTAACAGTCCATCCAAAGTGTCATCAACATCCATAGAAAACACGGTCTTTGATGAGCAAGACTCATCGTCGTAGATCCTACCCTATAAACCAGCTTTTGAAAAGTAACAAAAGAAACCACAAACTTACCCCAAGGCTTGTCAATTCATTAGCTATAGAATCTCCAACGTTTTTTGCATGAGTTGCAAATAGATAAACAATTGTCATCTTACGACAGCTTCCATGTTATTTGAAGACAGATAACAGATTTGGATGGAGGGCTAGGAAGAAATTCACGATTATCTCCTCGTTGTGTTTGAATTTTTGCAATCCAAATCGTGTACGCAAAATCTCGTAAGGATTCATTGCGTACTTATCGATTTTCGTCGGTTTTTCCTAGCCTCTGCAGTGCTTTGGACTTTCCTTCTACGAGATTCTAGTAAGAAATTCATATTATATGTATACATAATTCAAGGAAAATATGAATCAATTCAAAATGACTTGTAGATATGGTAAAACAACGGAAGTCGAAGGATCCGGGCTCAGCAGAGATTGTCAATGATGCTGGTGCTGTTCCAAGTCGAATGAATGTGTCGAATACTAAACTTAACGGCAAAATAGAAAACGTGAGTGCTTGAACCTCTTCGACGTAGTATAAAACGATTTTTCCTTGCTCTTGCAATCCTTCCTAAATGGCGCAATATTTGCGCGGAAAGAGTTCATTTGTATAAGTTGTAAACAAATAATAATGTGTTTATGGTAGCTTACATACATATCATAGCATGTCAGTCTGAAAGTAGATCACTTTTGCTGTTTTTTGAGTTCTTGGAATCTTTTTATGGCTATTGCGCAACATTGAGAAAGCTATGCGGGTGTGAGGCTTGAGGCATTGCTTGCAGAGCTTTCACTCCTCAATTAAGTTCTTCTGGTCCTATCTCATCACTTGCAAATACTGTTTTGCGTAGGGAGGCCCAGATCTGACCAACTCATGTGTTCCAATCTTGAAGGGCAATGAGAGGTTGTAAATTCGACCGAAGAGTTTTCATTTAGGGCGGTATTTATTAATCTCCCCATATCTGATCGGGCGCTGGTTCACCGTAACAAATGCTCGACTGGGTAATGGTCGCCGGTGGAAGAGCGCCCAATCAGGGGTGGTATCTATCAATCTCCTGTATAGGAAAGGGTTCCCCCACAGGTAACAGCCCGTACGCGGGCACTGTCTCCCGCGATATATGAAGCCAAGCTGGTGACGGGGCTCCTGTCTATTGAAGAATATGGTCCGATCTGACAAGTTTGGCTATGTCGGGCACGGCAGTCGGGCAGCAGTTCCCCATCTCGACAAGTCTGCCGGCGCTGCCCATTTGGGCCGCGCTTCCCAGACTTTCGTAAATCGCGGGAAGGGCGCTCCCGCCTGTGCGCTCTCTCGTTAACAATGGCCCGCACAGCGAGTGGGAGATTGATAAACAGCATCCCAGACTGGGAGATTCTCAAATGACTCAGTTGATATGGTCGGTTTGTCCGAACTCAAAGAGGGTAATATTATGACGTATCTTTGGCTGTTGTGGATCTGTTAAAGTTCAGGGATTCGTTCGTATAATTGCCTCCCAAAATGTTTTTATTACAGATGAATCAAGGCGATGACACCATGGAAAATGGCGTAGAGCCGGTACTAAAAAATAAGAAGTCAAAAACTCGCACATTAGGAGAGCTCGTGGAAGAGCAGCGGTAAGAAATATCTGTCTACTCATTTTTAGACTATTACTATAATACCGTGGATACGTCCTGCACACCATGTTTTGTTCAAAGTAGCTGCTGGCAGTGTTTAGGAGTGATAATAAAAAGCAAGTTCCGCATTCGTCTGGTGTTTCTCTGGCGGTTCAAATGACGCAAGGATTGATGTCCAATGATGTGTTGAAGCTAGATAGCGTTCTGAGAGAGTCGAAGGTGGAAATAATTCAGGTGAGAAGAGCGTTCATGTAACCGTTTCCGTTGAACTATCAGGTTGTCCCAAAAGTAAACCGTATTTTCGAATAAATCAAACTATTTTTGTTTTCCTGGCCGACTTGGGGTACCATTCGATAGAGCGAAGCAAGCTCTGCAAGATGACCACCAGGGGTCCGCTCAAGTCGCATTTTATGTAAAGTTTGAAGCCAAAATCGAAAAATAATTTTTCACCTGAAAATTGGATCTTTGCGAGGGAAAGCCCTACGGACCCCCAACTTGGTCATTATACAGTAGGCACATAGTAATACTCAAATAAGCTTTTGCCGAATATTTTCCGAGCATAGAAAGCGAGGAACAAGTATTGTCCAAAAATGGCAAACTCCGCCCCCAGCCCCTCCCACTTGTGTGATTGTCCTTACCCCTGCATGTGCTCTTATATTCGAGAAATACGAAGTTTCACAGAAAAAACCCGAAAAAAGTGCATTTTGGCATTTTGGGACCCCCTTTGTTCCTCAATTATGAACTCCGGAAGAAATCAACTAACGATAAAATCATTTTCCGATACTACTATGTGTCTACTATATAAAGACCAAGTTGGAAGTCCGTAGGAATTTTCTGGAAGGAGATCCGATTTTTAGGGTAGCTGAAAAATGATTTTTGGATCCAAATTTTACCTGGATAGCGACTTTGACGGTTCTTTGGTTGTCGTTTTGTAGAGCTTGCTTCGCTCTATCGAATGGTGCCCTAAGTCTATCAGAAAAACAAGAACAGTTTGATTTATGCAAAAATATGGTTTACTTTTGGGACAACTTAATAGTTGTGAGAATATCGTGAGTATACCACTGAAGGGAAAGGTATAGGGCATTTGAAAAATCGTGACGATGGCGCGACCGCGCGCGACACGCACGCACTTCCGGAAACTGCATTTTTTTGGTTTTCATCTCTAGTCGAATATTTTTTTGCTTACGCATGATAATTTTTAGACACTGGAAGTGGCTAAGCTGAAGTTGAGGTGATGCCTTCTTGTATGAGCGTTGTATTCTCCGATGGGCGGAAAGTCCGCAGTAAAATCCGTCGTCACATTTTGTAAATGAACTATATAACCAAGTCGGCGTTTATGTGGATACTAGGTTGATTCTAAACAATAATAAGTGTTATAGGCGACGTTGTCGGATCTGCAGGTTGCTCATATTGTTCCTCTTCTCAAGGCTCTCTTTGAACGAATCAGCAATAGATCTGCAACCAAGTTTGCTTTACTCTCTTCGTCTTTTAGTTCAATTATTTCATGCTACTTTTGTTCTTGTAGTACTCAGTCAAATTGCCCAAAGAAATTCTGGTATCTATCCCTGCAGCAACCAAACTGCATTTTTATTTTCAGTATAAGACCGTGGATATTATGGATACAGTGTATACTCTCGCTACATACGTCCTACCTGAGCTCGGTGTGTTTTGATATCTTCTGTCAAAAATCACACAGTTTTGAAATATGTTTCGATACAATAAATAAATGTATCCATGGTCACTATTGATATCTCTTTCGTTGTTCACGACAGGCTTGTAGCATTCTTACATGGTAATTATCATGGTTTTGTTGACACTCCATGAACACTTATTGGTCAAAGTTTGCTCGTATAGTTCCCTTTTTTATCCATTGAGCATCCTCCTGATGTGATCTTTGGCCGTGTATGGAGAGTTTTGGGTATTAACTTTGCTATCTTGGCTGCATCTAATTATACTTTTTGCTTTTAGCTGCGAAATCTGGAAACTGAACTCAGTGGATTACTGGAGTGGATGCGGCAACGAGTCGGTCATCAACAAAAGCTTTTGGAATTGTATGGGCGGTTAACTCTAGTTGGAGAACAGGTTAGATGCTTTCGTTGATAAGCGTCAGGATGGGTATTGGTATTACTGAAACATGAGTTGTTGGCTGTTTTAGTAAGGCCAATGAGTTTGATCATGAGAGGACTTTTGAATTTGTAGATTGAGCGACGCACGAACCGCACTGTCATCGTTGCACCGCAGCCTCTTATAACTTTTAATGACGGTAAGTAGTTTTTCTCTTGCACTGTCTGTTCAAAACGGTTCTACTTTTTTCTGAACTCGAACTCTTCATTTCGTTATTGGTCTTTTTGAGCATGGATAAAAGACATTCAGCAAACTTCTCTTTTGCAAGAGAATGGGAGGGAGAAGAGTATACAGTGACCGCCAAAAAGTTGCGGACAGACCCCTCTCCCTTTTTCATCGCTCTTTTTCAGAGGGAAAACAGAGATGGAAAAATGTAATAATTGCATGAGGTGATAGAGCTCTTCAAGATCTACAATCTGCACTTTGACTATTTTGAGAAACTTGTGTTCTAAAAATCTTAAGAATCTTTTTCTAAAAAAAAGTCCGAAAATGGCCGCGTCACAATGTCGCGGACAGTAATTCTTCGAACGCAAAAATTTTCTTTTGAGTCCTATTTTAAAGCGGAGACACAAGTTATCCGGACGGGTAAGCATACTACTATACAGAGCTCGTCAAGAAATACACACTGGCTATGGTTGCTTCCCCAAAAAACGCAAGCTTGAGTTTTATTTTAGTTTTTCCAAAAAACAACTTCTAATCTCCTTAATCAAGCCAAACTTCTTCACACGGAAACCTGTTCAAGACATCCCAATAAAGCCGTCTGGATAAAATAGATGCTCTTTGCCATCTTATATGCATCGGACGTGTGCTGATGAGTTTCTTGGCTGAAAATGGTCTTTGGCAGTGCTTGCACATGACCCCACCTGCACCTCACCACTGACTTGTACCGCTTTGCAGGCTTGTAACTCGGCCGCCAGACACTATAAGAGTCTGCAAGTAGACTCATTCGAAAGAGCGTGAGTTCCTGGACACGACGATATGCAAATGGGGTGAGTTTGAGAGATTTCAGAGGTTTGGCGGATGGGGAGAAAAAGTGCAGCCTTAGAGGTAATAGGAGTGAAAGCTTTTATGAACACCAGAATAGTCTTAGAGCTTCGAAATGGATCTATTACAAGAAAATTGACAGTTTTGAACTTCCAGGATGAAATTGGTAGCGAAAGGAGCTTTCTTCATCTTTAGCTGAAAAGTGCTTAGACTACAACTGAAACTGCCCTCTACCACCCCATCCGCCAAATCTCTGGGATTGCTCAAACTGAACTTAATTGCATACTTTCGTGTAGAGGAAGTCTCGTTCTTTCGAACGAGCCTAATTGCAGGCTCAAATATTGACTGCAGGCCGAGTTACAAGCCTGCAAAGCGGTACAAGTCAGTGGTGAGGTGCAGGTGGGGTCATGTGCAAGCACTGCCAAAGACCATTTTCAGCCAAGAAACTCATCAGCACACGTCCGATGCATAGAAGATGGCAAAGAGCATCTATTTTATCCAGACGGCTTTGTTGGGATGTCTTGTACAGGTTTCCGTGTGAAGAAATTCGGCTTGATAAAGGAAATTAGAAGTTGTTTTTTGAAAAAAAATTAAAATAAAACTCAAGCTTGCGTTTTTTGGGGAAGCAACCATAACCAGTGTGTATTTCTTGACGAGCTCTGTATAGTAGTATGCTTACCCGTCCGGATAACTTGTGTTTGTTTTAAAATAGGACTCAAAAGAAAATTTTTGCGTTCGAAGAATTATTGTCCGCGACATTGTGACGCGGCCATTTTCGGACTTTTTTTAGAAAAAGATTCTTAGAATTTTTAGAACACATATTTCTCGGAAAACTTAAAGTGTAGATTGCAGATCTTGAAGAGCTCTATCACCACATGCAGTTATTACATTTTTTTCATCCTTGTTTTCTCTCTGAAAACGAGCGATGAAAAAGGAAGGGAGGGTCCGCAACTTTTTGGCGGTCACTGTACATCTGCTGTGGGATTCCAAAGTTCTTCTTTTTCGATGAGTTAAGTTGTAGAAGGGCAAAAAAAAAAACAGGTCTCACTGAGAATGTTAGCAATTCTATAGCCATTTCTATCCTGGCTGGATTCATCGCAGTGTATGAGATACGAAACAAGGTTTTCCCCTGTGTTCTGTTTGCGCATGTACTTCTTTAGATTTGGATTCCGATCTGGAAGATATAGAAAGCGGCGGATCAGAAGAAAGTGGTGGCAGTAGCGATGAGGAGGAGGAAGATTGGTGGGAGGAGGAAGGAATAGGAGCTAGCGATGAAAACGAAGATGATGATGGTACGCACAGTCATATCTGCCTCCGACCTTTGTCTGATCTACAATAAATTTAAGATTCTGATGATTCTGATTTGAATGTGCCTCTAAAAAAGGCCAGAGGAAATGACAATGGCAGTGGAACGGATGAAGAAAATGACTCAGAGGTAATCAAATTCTTGTTTTCGTCAGTTGTAGACTGTATGAAGACGACTTAATACACTTTTCTGACAGAGAAGCGATACTTAGACAACGGAGTACAGAGTATATTGTGCGTTAATTTTGTTTAATATCTAATTGAGTAGACGTTTTTGACATCGAATTGAATGCCGCGGAAATACATTTTGCAACACGAGTCGATGGTGTCTCTTTCAATTAGTCACCAAAATGATACCATTCTGGTTACTCAAAGAAGCATTATCTCACTTGTTTATCATCTGCTGATTAAGGAAGGGAGCAGTGATAACAGCGGCGAAGAAAATGGCAAAGATACAGACGATGAGGAAATGGATATAGGTTAAGAATTCTCTGGTAGACTTTTTATATATCTCTTTCGAATTGAGAACATAGACCCTTTCCTTCCATCATATGGCTCTTTTGGTTGTTTGTTTCGTGGTTCTGGCAGTTGACTGTGCGGCATTTATCTGTTCACGCCTTTCATGAGATGCCTTAGCCACACGATGTTATCTTTTTCTCCAAAAGTTGTGTATGTTTTGAATTTTAGAACAAATATTCTAGTTGTCTGTTCTGTTTTATCATTTTACAGATTTATAGTTCATCTTGTTTTCTTTTGTTGACCGAATCGCTATTCGGCTTTTGTGTGCAGATTGTTTTACGTGGAACTTGTTGTTCCTTAGTCAGTGCGGAAGGAAGGATGGCTCAATTGATCACAGATCGTCTAATTGCCAGTGTTTAGTGAGTCACATCCATGTGTTATTGAAACCATTCTTGTAATACGTCGTGCGGTTCCCTGCTTCCCGATGTGAATCACAGACACTGTCACCCATTGATGCTGATACTGTTTTGTCACTTGCCTTAGTTGGTTGTTACCATTGTTGAAATTACAAATGTATGTTGATAAAATCTTTGTTCACTTGTTGATAGTGATGCCTCTGACCAAACCGCGTTTTCAAACCCTCAAAGGCTTTCTGGCAGGACCAACATTTAAGGGTAGTATATTCAGCGTGGAAGAACGCCTCAACTAAACGTATAGAAGGTTCAGCCTTGCAGACAAGGACGGAGTGGTGTAAACATAAGGGTCCTGCAAAGTACTGCAGCGACTCTGCGCCTTTAATCGTGATGGACAAACCATCATCCATCCGTGTTCACAATGTGATGAAGGGCGTTAATAAATGCTCATTTTTATTTTTTAGCTTTCTCCAACTTGGGTTAATGAAATCTTGGTATTTGAGATAACTGGTAACCCGGGTAGAAAAAGAACTCAAAAGTCGAGAATTTGTTGAGCCACTGTCTTCGAGGTAAATCAATTCGAAATCCTATCGTTGTAGACTGAGTGCAGAATAGGAGTAAATGAAAATCAGAGCATCGCCTGTTCTGCTGACTGCAAGTGCTGAATGGACGCGATACGGTCAAGAATGACGAAGAGATTAAAAATCGGTATCTGCTTAATGCTGCTTTTGAATTCGTAAGCGGAAATTGATGGCATCGGCCCAATGAAGACTCCGTTCAAGCGACAGAGTAGATGGTGAACTCGCTTTCCACAGTTTTTCTCCAAATCTAACTCAGCTGTAAACCCATACCTATTTGGCGGATGAACTTGCACCGGCTGTGTTCGCACAAAAGCAGGCAAGATCGTGCAAGTCGTCCGCAATCAAGCAGCGACAAGTGAGAGGGAGCCGGGCCCTTTCCAGGTGAAGAGGATCTCGGTCACTCCCATCACTGTGAGGTAAAGGGGGCAAGTAAGCGCTTAAAGCGAAATACCCTGACAAGCTATATAGACACCATTCGAAAGCTGGTCATGGCGGATCGAAAAGCACGGTCGATTTTTCTAGGTATTTGCGCCGAGAAATTTGAGCAATTTTATCTGGCCGGTATGTCAACTGATTTAAAGGCAGTGTCCGGGCAAAAACTCGATCTTGAGATTTTGTGCTTACCCGGGCCTATCCGCTAGGCTGAATCCGAAAATCCACACTGGAAAGCACGAAAACGACGAAAAAAGGCTCTAACACTGGAGGGAAATCAGCAAGTGGGCGGGGTCTTCCCCACTGCGAATTCACGCTTCCAGCTTCCAGAGCAATTTTCTCGAATCCGTTAGCCGCCCTGACATCACCACCGATCAAGTGCAATTGAATGACTTGAAACCGGAATCAAAAAGATCGCCCCCGATGCTGGGAGCGTGAATTCACCGTGGGGAAGACCCTGCCCACTTGCTGATTTCTCTCCAGTATTAGAGCCTTTTTTCGTCGTTTTCGCGCTCTCCAATGTGGATTTTCGGATTCAGCATAGCGAAAAGGCACAAAATCTCAAAATCGAGTTTTTGCCCGGACACTGCCTTTAATGTGTCAACGTTCTGCTTTCTTATCGCAATCAAGATAGAAGTTAGAAAGTTGACGGTCTATGTTTATTGATGAAGACTTCTATTAGGGTGATCCAAAGGTAATGGGGCACCTTGATTATTTTGAACATTCTTCAAGATTTCTTTCTAATTAGCTATGAACGCCCAGCAATTTTAACGCCTTTGTATAAAGTGATCTTCGCAGGTTATCTTGACAGCATCTTGCAGCAACTCACCGACATTTATTCGAGTGGCGCTTCAAAGAATTCAGACAGACTTTTTTGAACGCCAACCGAATTTGGGCTGCTGCACCTGATAGTCCCTCGAAATATGGCATACCATTCGAAAGAGCTTTCCAAGCTCTTTCTAATGATTACTTGCATATCCAAAAATTGCCCATTATTTTGTACAAAAAAGGCACTTTATTCGAAATAGTGCGGTTTTGGCGCAGATTTTCAGACTAAAATTCATATTTTGAACCGCAATATTTTGAAAATGAGAAAAGTCGAGGTAATCTACATATGTATGGATAGAGCGTAAAAAGCACTATTAGAAAGCAACTGCTAAGTTTGGGCTTACTTGATTACCTTGATGAAAGAATAAGTAATATGTCTCCTGATACCCAATGCTATATCTTCTGTTCTAAAGCCTTGGGACCACCGAGCTATTGTGGATTTGGTGACAGTTCCCTCACCCATTGCTGCGCACATATCTTTGATAGGCTCACTTGTTTTACTGCGGCGCTGCTGCTCAAAGTTCAAAATTACTTGAAGTGGTGAGCTTTGATTTTGAGCGCTTATAAAAATAACGCCACGTGACAGTGCCCAACTATAGACCTCATTCAGAAGGTTTTGTTATGTACTAACATCTGCCAAAACTTGAACTTCCAATTAACTTTTCTATTTAAGAAAACTGCATTTATTCTCTAGCTGCCCCATTACTTTTGGATCACCCTAATATATTATAGATAGATTATCAGTGTTAGTTAGGATTTTTTTGGGCAGAAATCTGCTGTCAAATATGAACATAGTTTCGGATAAAGTACGGCGTATCTCTCGGTACAGTGGGGCTAGGAAAAACTGGACGGTCTATGTCGAATCCCTACTTTCAAATGGTATATAGACTGTGGTGCGAAAAGACTTGACAGTTACCAAAAATGGGGTGGAGGTACTTACTATAGCTTGCTCCACCCCTTATGTATTGGCTTTCATGTGTCAACGGAGCAAGAACTTTTTGAAGCCAGTAAGCGAAAGGCCCCAATAAACTACATACCATTCGAAAGCTGAAATTATGGACAAACGACGTAGTCCGTCGACTTTTTTCTAACTCTTCTTAGCAGTAAGATGTGAGGAATTGATCTGCCGATGTACTTACTAATCCGTTTAACCCTTTCGGACCTGGTGGTGGCAATTGCCACCATCAATTCAGAGATCTACTATACTGGCGCAAGAACATCATTTCACTACTCACTGCTCTCAAACGCTTCATATAGCCTTTGCCTTCCAAATGTAGCTTCGAGCTCGGGTGTTCATTTGCTTCTCTGTGAATAGCATGTACATTTCTGTAAACAAGTGGATTTCAACCAATCAATAATTTGCGCCGGCTTGAGCACCGTTTCAGTATCTCGTTTATTAGCCAAAAAATATTCATAATATTATCATAATGTTTTAGTACGATGCTGAGCAAATGTAACTGTTAACTGTTTGCGGGTCCACATGTTTCGCGGGAGATTTGAAAATCCAAAATAAACGCAAAACCAAAAAATTGAAAAATCAAAAAGAAATAGTTCATAAGGTTAAGCAGACTCCAAACTCCGCTATAATGTTATTCATATGGTAATAAGTAAAAAACACTAGGAGAGAGGCTTCTCGGCTCACTCGCAAAAACTCAGGTCCGAAAGGGTTAAGCTAACAAAGAACGCATTTAACTTTCATCCTATAGAAAAAAACGTAATTTTACTGAGTAGTTATCGACTAATACAGTAAGCATTATTATACTGAAGTGTTTTTTTTTGCAATTTTTAGCACGACTTATTGGATATAGACTTACATTAGTTGGTTTTTCTCAGCTCGCTTACAAGCAAGGGTGTCCTACCTGTCCACCTATCTCAAAGCTATGACAAGCCTTGGAAAGTAAGGCTTGAAAATAAATATGCTCAAAATTTTTTCTAGAAAACATGGAAGGAAGACGCAGCAAACAAGCATCAATCACTGAGGTTCTCGAGAAACAACTAGTTTTTCGATTCTTATTATCTTTTAAATTGTTTATTTCCAGGTTATTTTTATTCCCAAATTTAGTTATTTTATACTCACAATCAGATTCATTGTAGACGCTATTGAAATAGTGCAAAAAAACTACTGTAATTCTTGTTGCAATTGATAGAAATACTTTTTTTTAAGGGATGTATGGTTGTTGTGTTTTACGGCCAAGGTGCTGAATTTCCAATAGTCATCTGATCGCGGTTCACTTTCACAGTCTCTTCCCAAATCAGCCTCAAGTAAGTGGGGTTATCCCGGTTCTCGCTTAAACGTGAAGGGCTATGATCTTCGCGCTATCGCAACTTCTTTGTCCGCACAATTCTGTCTACCAACACACTCTTTCGGCGGAAGTTGAAGTCGAAATTATGTAAAGGCATAAGCACATATGCAGTGTTCGGGCACATAGTCATTTTATCGCAAATTTGCCTACTTGTAACGCTTAATCCGAAATTCCACGTTAAAGAGCTTGGAAACGTCGCAAACACCTCCCAAAACCTTGCAATTTATTTGGACTAGTGGAACAGTTCCTACCAAAGCTGAGACGCAGAGTCGCTGCTTGACTACGACCTTAGCGGCTGCATGCGTATTCTGACAGACCAGGAAATCGCAGGTGGAGACGCCCCCCCCCCCCCAGAGCGCGATTTTCATGACTCTCCGACCGTAATTCCTGATTCTGGTCAAAAAATGGCCTCGCACTTGCATGATGGCATGCTGACAAGGAAAGTCCGCCTCGTTGAGGCGGCGATTCGGAAGGTAATGTATCTATCAAATATACCTTCTATATTTGCGAAGCGTTTTTTATAAGAAATTATGAGTTTTTTTGTAGTTTTTGTATTGCATTTGTAATATCGAGGCTTGTTCTAGAACGAAAAGACCTGCGGATTACAGCATATGGCCAACACTCGGAGACGTTCAGATAATATGAGATTAGACCTACAACATTTATTAGGTGCTTCGCTTGAACCTCCATACTTTTGTCTGAAAACTGGATTTACGACTCAAAATTGAGGAAAATCTGGTGTGAGAAAAGCTCATGACTTTTTTTAGAAGAACACATCGCAAATATAAAAGGTGAATCTGATATCAGCCTTCAAAGCTCTATCCACGGCTATACACCAAATTCTGAATCGCCACTTCGACCTT